CAGGTAGCCTCGGTGGCTGGCAGAGAGGACGGCCTGCCTCCCTCCTGCTCTGGAATCACCCTCTGTGGGCCCTTGCTGAAAGTGATGCTCTCATCTAAAGACCACTGCTCTGGTCTATAGGGCCTAGATAGGAACTGTTGACCTAAGAAGGAGCCACCTGGGTGCCAGTCCTCAAAAAAGCCCCGCAAAAAGGGGCTTCCAAATACATTTGGGGATTCTGACATATAAAGAACCATTATTTGGTCTGGTTGAGAATTTTGTTGTGTGCACTTCAGCGTCCGAGAAAGGTATGGCTACATTGGCAGCATCTGTGCCGAGAATAAAGTACTTCTCTCTTTGATACACTCTTGAAAGAAACAGTACCTTATCTTCTTCAGGGAGGGAGATTTCAGGGCCCATCCAGTAGAAACTCTATGGCTACTCCTGGGTCGGTACTCCAGGCTTACTTCTGGGGTGCTCAGGGGACCATTATGTGGTGCCAGGGATTAAACCGGGATTGGCTGCATGCAAAGCAAACACCTTTACCCCTGTACTATCTCTCCAGCTCCGATAACTATGTAATTATTGAAATTTCAGTAGTGCATCATTCTATACACTGCATTACTAAAAGTTCGGTTCTGTCCTTCCCTTTGTCCAATTTACCTGCCTCACCAATTGCTTTCCTGAAGACCACTAATTTGGCCCAGCAGTCTAAAACTTCATTTCTATCTTCATTCATTGATTCATTTATTCCTCTATAGATCACATAAGAGAGAAATCACCCTCTTCAACTCCACCTGAATGACTTAATAGGCCCATCCATGGGTGGCACAGGGCAGGATTTCGCCTTGTTTTAAGAGCTAAGTAGTCCATTATGTATATACACCACCTCTTTAACTTTTAACTTCACAAAGAGTCACAGTCAGGTAAATACTCCCAGGGGAGAGAGGGAAGGAGAGAATTCTAGCCAGATGCTTTGCTAAGGCTGGAGGCAGTGGGCCAAAACAGGCCAGACAAGGGGATCTTGTGAATAACGGGGTTGGGGCCGGGTGCTTGGGTCTGGAGCACTGAGTTATTCTAAGAGGAAGACTGAGAAACAGACTCAGTGGGGTAGGGGACCACCGTGTGGATGGGAAACCAAACTTGTGAGGAGGGAGTGTCCCTTGCTCTTCCTTTCTTTTAGAAAGGTACATTCTTTTTTCTTTTGTAATTTAAAATAATTTTTAAAAATTGAATCACTGTGAGATAGATCCTTATAAGGCTGTTCACCATTAGGTTTCAGTGCTACAATATTCCAACATCCATCCCTCCACCAGTGTACATTTCCCAGCACCAGTGTCCCAAGTTTCCCTCTCAGCCCCCTCCCCCCAACAGCCGACAATGCCTCTGCCCAGTCTGTCTCTATGGCAGGTGCTTTTCTTCTCCCTCTCACCCCCTCCCGTCTTCCCTCTCTCTCCCCCTTCCTTTTGGGCATTGTGGTTTGCAATACAGATACTGAAAGGTTATCAAGAATATCCCTTTATCTACTTTTAACACTCAATTCTTGTCCAACGTGATCATCCCTAGCTATTATTATCATACTGTTCCCCTCTCTATCTTACCTACTCTTTTCCCCACACAACTTGTGGTTGATTCTAACCACTAACTGGTTGGAAAGGCACATTTTATTTTGAGTTTTTGGGTCACACCTGGTGATGCCCAGGGGTTACTCCTGGCTCTGCTCTCAGGGATTACTCCTGGTGGTGCTTGGGAGAGCTTCTGGGGTGCTGGGAATAGGACCTGGGTCGACTGCATGCAAGGCAAATGCCCTCCCCACTGTACTATCGCTACGACCCCAAGACAGGTGCATTCTTTTTTTTTATATTTATTTATTTTTTAATAGTGAGGCACCATGAGGTACAGTTGTAGACTTACACATTTTTGTGCTTGGGTTTCGATTATACAATGATCAAACACTCATCCCTCCACCAGTGTGCATTTCCCACCACCACGGATCCCAGCATCCCCTCCCCCCCCCAGCCCCCATCCCACCCTGCCTCTGTGGCAGGGCATTTCCCTCTCTCTCTTTTTGAGTGCCATGATCTGCAAAAGAGGCATTGAGTGGCAATCATGCTTGGTCGACAGTCTACCCTCAGCATGCTCTCCCATCATGGGCGGATCCTCCCAACACCCTTTATTTGGTGTTCCCTTCTCTTTCTGAGCTCCCCCTTCCCCTAACATGTGTGCTTGTCCTCTAGGTCATTGAGTAAAATTCCTGGTACTAATCTCTGCTATACTTGGGTGTTAGTTTCCTATTTTGTTACTTTATGTTCCCAGATGAATGCAATCTTTCTGTGTCTATCCCTTTCTTTCTGAGTCATTTCGCTTAACATGATACTTTCCATGTAGTACCACTTGTATGTAAACTTCATGACTTCGTCTTTTCTAACAACTACATAGTACTCCATTGTGTAAATGTGCCAGAGTTTCTTCAACCAGTCATCTGTTCTCGGGCACTCAGGTTTTTTTCCAGATTCTGGCTATTGTAAAGAGTGCTGCAATAAACAGACAATTGCAGATGTCACTTCGGCTATACTTTTTTGCCTCTCTGGGATATATTCCCAGGAGTGGTATTGCTGGGTCAAATGGGAGCTCAATTTCTAATTTCTTGAGAATCATCCATACTGTTTTCCAAAAGGGCTGAACCAGTCGGCATTCCCACCAACAGTGAAGGAGTGTCCCTTTCTCACCACATCCGCGCCAGCACCGGTTGCTTTTGTTCTTGTGGATATGGGCCAGTCTCTGTGGTGTGAGATGATACCTCATTGTGGTTTTGATCTGCATCTCCCTGATGATTAATGATGTGGAACATTTTCTCATGTAAGACAGGTGCATTCTTAAGGGAAGGGTGCACACAGGGAGTCTTTCCACAGGCCCTCCTGGCTTGGTCTAGAACTGAAACTGAAACCAAATGCAGGCTGAGACTGCCTGACGACCTTCCTCCTTTCACCAGGCAGATTTGAAGCAGCCTCCCCGGGCCTGTACCACAGACTGGCTCGGAGAACAGTGATGCTCAGGGCCTGGCCACGGGGAGGGGGGCAGGAGACAGCTGCAGCGCCTTGCTTACAGAATGGTTAGGATGCACTGGCCCAACACAACAGTCCAAAGTCTGTCCTTTCATCTTTGGAGAGATACAATCAGCAGCTTGACAGATTCCTGGCAGAAGCAATTAGCTCATGAATTAGTTATCGAGTGTCTCATGCAGCCAAGGGCTGGCAAATGCTGATCTGCAAACTTCCCTCAAGAACTCTGGGACAAAAGGGTCAGCCACCTGCTCTACTTGGCTGCAGGAATTTTAGCCCCTCCATCCATCCTTCCTTTCACTCTCCTCGAACACATCCCTCTCTCCTCCGCTACCCTTCCGGGGACCCAGACTTGGTCTCCTGCCCTTACCTCCTTTGCTGATGCCCCTCCAGCTCTCCAAGCTCATCATGCACTGCTCCCCCAACGGTCATGTGACTCCCAGCAAGCTGGTCCTTTGCCTGCCGTGAGATGTTGGCTGGTTCTGCCGGGGGCTGTTTACTGTCTGTCTAGGATGTGAGCGTGGCTAGCTCACTCATGTTCTTCAGATCTCTGTTCAAACATCCTCTTATTATTAGGAAGGCTTCTCTCAGCCCCTTGATTCTCACACTCTGGAATGCCCTGATTTCTCTCTCTCCATCCACCTCTGGCGACACTATCTCTGCTTACTTGCTTGCTATCTGATGGCCTGCATCAGAAAGTGAGTGCTGTAAGGACAGGCACGGCCCTGTTTGGCCATTTCCCTGGAGGAATGAATGAAGAATCTATAGCTCAAAATCCAAATAAAACCGATGCAGAGCTACAATCTCCTTCTAGCTGCCACGGCCTCTTTGAAGTACAAAATAAAGACGAGTTTATCTTCAAATTGCTTTTCGGCAAGCGTCTCTTGTCCTCCCATCCATTCAGCTGCCAAGTTCCCTAGGTTCTCTGCTTGAAACCCGTAATTCCTTCCATCCTTTCATCCTATTTATTGAATACTTACTAGGTACCTGGCGTTGTCTCTTACATTATTCTCACCACGCTATTCCCACCGCTGCTCTTTCCGATGAAACCTCTCTACCCCCTACCTGGCCAAAGGTGAATCTTCTCTATCACTGTCACTGCTTCCTATTTTTCTTTCAGTTCATCCTCTCGAATTCCTAGATAAATTTCATCTCCCTTCCCTGCTCGAAATTCTGCAGTGCTTCCCGATTGCCAATTGAATTAAATAGAGATTACTTAGCCCAGCTTTGAAGAGTCTCCATAAAATCTCAATCTTCTCATGAGTTCCATCTAGGACTATTTTCAGCATGGAGGTTTTCTCTAAACTGGCCCACTCATTGCTTTTTCAATGTGCCCACATGCTGTTCCCATCTCTAGAAATAACACAATTTCTGTCTTCCCCAAATGTGTCTTCCAAGAGCCCTCGGCAATGCCGGTGCTGTGAACCCTCCCATAGGAGGTATCCTCTCCCACTTTTGAGTCTTATGACACCAGGTGTAGACAGTTATGAATACCTGCATCATCTCCTGGTGCTGCGGTTATATGCAGAGGAATGCTGACCGGAAATGGCAATCGGATCTTTAATTCATTTGTCTGTTGAGCATCAGCTGTGTGTTTGGTATCATGTAAGGTGGTATGTAATAGTAAAAATTTAATTCAGTAGTAAGTAAATACTCATGACGGAAGTTCCTAAGGGCTAGTGGTGGTTCCCAAATGCCCACCAACTGGGGCTGCAGCGATAGCACAGCGGGTAGGGCGTCTGCCTTGCACGCAGCCAACCTGGGTTCGATTCCCAGCATCCCATATGGTCCCCTGAGCACCACCAGGGATAATTCCTGAGTGCAGAGCCAGGAGTAACCCCTTGTGCATTGCCAGGTGTGACCCAAAAAGAAAACAGACAAACAAACAAACAAACAAAAACCCAAATGCCCACCAACTTCCAACACTTGGGTTGATGGAGGGAGAGATAAGAAGCTGACCTGGGGAGGTTGCAAGTTCCAGGTGGCCCAGGTGTGGCTGTCTGGTGACTCTGTAGGTCAGTTCTGCAGGCACACGCTCCTGGTCAGTGGCAGAGAGCTGCAGAGTTGTGATTTTCTTCACTGAGTTTTCATCCAAGATGAGACCTTTATTGGTGATGATGACAGGTGGGGATCTGTCTTCTGGAAAGATCAGAAATGGATTTGAGGTGGTATCTTTTCCCTTTCTTCAGCTCGAGGCTTGGGGTCTTAGGGTGAGATCTGAACAGTCCTGAGGTCTGACCCTCAGAGAGGCAACCAAGGAATTGGAACTTCACACAAATGGGAGGGAGTCCAGATTTCCATACCAGTTAAGTAAAGACAAAGGTTCGAATCTTAACCACAGTGTGAGTGACAGACCCTCGGAATACTAAAGTGTTTTGAGAATCCCAAAGCTCTTTTACCCTGAACGCTGATGGAAAATGACTGGCCAGTCAATTTGTTGCCGTCTCCATCAACCACGTCAAACTTAAAAACAAAGCTGCCACCAGGTTCTCCTTTTTCATGACTATATTCCAGTTGGCCTGTAAAAAGGACAAGAGAGATTTGCTTGGAGCACTTTTCCATCTCTATTTCTGATGACAACTGGTTTTCCCATCCAATGAATCAATTAACACCAGCTCGCTTTAGCTCCACTTTTGACATTTCCATCTAAAGTATTCACTCCTTTTCTGTCTTCTCCCACTGTGGGCATTTTCATAATGAAAGGCCCGTTAGAATAAAGTCATCGCAAACAACACTGTTTGTGGTGCAGGTCCAGTCTTTGTGAAAGGCCCTGACAGCTGTGAAAACTGTGAATAACACGGTCAGCCAAGTTGCCCATATGTGAAATGAGTATGACTGTACCTGCACCACGAGTGCGACCTTTCCTGTCACCTTTTCACAGGGAAAAGAATACAGGATGCAGCCCACACTCTCCCACAAATAGTTGTACCCATTTCCTCAAAGAGCCTTCATTATTTTTGGAACAACAGGGTGTACAACCAACCCAAAAATAAATAAACAAAATAAGTGAGCTCTTTAGAAAAGCCAAAAGTACTGACAGACATCTGCAATGTATTAATAATTTTGTCTATTTGTTTTGGCCTGAGGTTAAATTTTGGGGACCACACCTGTTGGTACCTGGGACTAACTCCTAGCGAAGTACTCAGTGATCTCTTCTGGCAAAGCTCAGGGGACCTTTTGGGGTGCAGGGGATTGAACCTGAGTCAGCCACATTCAAGGCAAACACCCTATCCACTCTACTATCTCTCAGGTCCCTGCAATATACTACATTTTGTTAAACCATAGCACACTTTTAAGTACTTATCCATGGAAATGTAATCAAATGTTTGAGAAGAGGCACCTAGTCATGCTTTTATTTTATTTTTTTACTTTGTATTTACTTGGCCACCCCTGGAAGTTATCAGAGCTTACTTCTGGTTCTGCATTCGAGGATCACACCTGAAGGGCTTGGGAGACCGTATGGGATGCCAGGGATTGAACCTGAATTGGTTGCATTCAAGGCAAACACTCTGCCCACTGTACTACTGCTCCAGCTCTCTGGTCTCATTTTCCAGAAAAGACACAGAAGCAAAGAATGAAGGAATTACTCTCCTTTGGCCCTTTCCTAAAGTTATGATAAGTTCAGTGAGGTTTCAGCTGCTGCCAACTTCAGGTGACAGTACACAGAAAGGACATTTATATCTACTTTCAGGGGTATATTTCTGCTGCTGAGTGGAACTGCACCTCATCACTTGGCTGTGGATTAGTTCCTGCATCCCCCAAATGGGCCCCCTTCTTTTTATCCCTAAAAGTATTGGACAGTAACTACGTGGCATTGAACATTCATGCTTTCACACGGCATCAGCATTTCCTGGAGGAGGGATGAGCTGTGCAGTCTCCCCCAGGCAGCTCCTATTTATGCCCTTCCATTTTGCTTAGTTCATTAACTCGTGCTCTTTGGGGAGCTGAAAAAAAAATAAAAAGATATAAATTGTTCACCTACAGCAGGCATAATTTTCACCTTAATCCATCCCAATTCACTTCTTTTCATTTCTCTCTTTCTCTTACACACACACTCTTTGTAGCATCTGAGTGAGTGAAAATGACTTTTTCCCCTCTATAATGGCCCCAAATTCTATCACTGCTCTGTCAAAGCATGAGCACATTTTAGTCAAGAAAGATAGTCCTTTTGTGAAAAGCAAAATATCGAGACGAAAGCATAAATGAAGCTATAATTCAGCAATTATTCAAAACAGATGGGCCAAATTGGAGTGATAGTACAGCAGGTAGGGCGCTTGCCTTGCTCCAAGTCAACGGGGTTCAGTATCTGGTGCCAAATAAGCTCCCCTAAGCACCTCCAGGAGTGGTACCTGAGCAAAAGCAGGTGTGGCAAAAAACAAATTTGAACTAAAATGGAATAGGGCACAGCTTAGTGCCGTGGGCCTCTGGGGATGGGACTGGACCTTGATGCCGTGGGTGGGTTGTACCGGCTGACCTTGGCTGATGTCCGCCTGTGTGAAGCTTCGGACAGGGCCCTCCGCAGAAATTTGCTCCACGTGGTCGCGCTGGACCACCTGTAGATGACCTGCTCCAGGGTCTTCCCTCAGCACGTACAACACCCGATGGGCATCGGAGTGGGTGTCCGTGGCCTTCAAGTGCTGTTCTGTGATACGTGCTACTGATCCTGGGAGAGAAAGGAGGAGGACCCCATCATTTCCTCTGACTACCAGGTCAAAGAGGTGCAAACCCAGACAGTGAGTGATCACACATTCTCGGGAGCAAGCAGCAGTCAAACATCTTTCTCAGTTTCAAGCTGAAGAGAGTTTAACTTCCCTAAGCAAAAGAGTCCCAACTTCCCATTTTGGGACCCTTCCTCTCCCTCTCCTTTCTTCCTTCACCCCCCTCTCTATCCCCCATTTAGCTTTAAGACGTGTTGTTTTATTTTATTCTCTCTGGAAACATTTCCAGTTTCTCTGTCCACTCTGTTCCTGTGACGATCCGAATCTATGTAATCGCTCTGAGTCCTGTGATGTTAATTACCTTCAAGAAAGAAAACCTGCTGGGCCAATTTATTTATTAGCTGTCTTGGGGGATCACCAAAGAGTTTTACATAAACTCATCAACTCATCTTGCTGCTCTCCCAGAGAAAGTGGGTGTTCCTCAAGCCTAAAGAGTGGAGCGTTATGCTCGAGTCCTGGTCCTGTGAGGGATGAAGAATGGAGGCAAAAACCTGACTACAGAAAACACCTCTCTTGACAACCAGTTGCTGCCCTGCCTGGCCATTTTCTATACTAATTTTTACTGTAGATTTTGGTAAGGAAGATCCTAAGCTTTCCTAGCAAGGCAGCCTGGTATGTGGGGAGGTGCTCCACTGAGCCCTGAGCATATTCTGGGCTGAGTTAACGCCAACAGGCACATTTATCCATTTGTCACCCGGGTCATTCTTAGTGAACAGCCTTGATGGATGAAGAGATGTTCTCTCTGGGACAAAAATCAGGTTTCTTATGGTTATTCTCCTAAAACATAGGGAAGCATCCCACCTTCATGATCCTCTTCTGTAATGCAAGTCACTGCACTAGAGGTCCCATCTGGACCCTTGGTGTCACCCTGTGGGGCATGGGAAGTGGAGGGAACTGACAGATGTGCTGGTGCCCATGCTGCCTGCCGCGCTGTGGGCAGTCTAAGTATTTGGTCTCTGATGCGGAGTCTCATGTCTTCTGTCAGCATTCATGAAACAGTACCAGGCCAGTTATTACCATGTGAAAAGGGGTCAAGTCAAATCCCAGGTATCTAAATCCAAATAGGGCATTTTTTTTTGGCTACAGATCAAATGAAGAATAAACAAACAGAACCTCAGTCAGCTACAGATGCTCTGTGGCCAGAAGATGGACAGCCCGTGAAAAACTCTATGGATGCCACTTGTCCCCAACCCTTCAGGGCTGTTTAGCCATAGGCAACACTGTGAGGATTTGACTCTAGGAAGGCATCTGCAATGATTCTCAGTTATTTGCATAATATTTTCTATTTTCAGTGAATGAGAACTTTTAATCACCCTTTCATGCCTCCCTACTTTTTTTTTTTTGAGCACGTCAAAAATCCTATTGTTTATCTTTTATTGTTGGTTTCTGTGGTGTTGGTTGGGCAGTGTCAATGTTCTAAGTGGGCCAATAAACAGTTGGATAACTTTAAATTTTCAAAGACCCTAGACAAACTATAAACCTTTGAAATATTTTCTCAAATTCAGAAACACTGAACCAAAACACTGGACTTGATAGGTTCACATTTGTCACTCACAATTCTTAGTCTTCCTAAAACAATAGTTCTCCTCAATTCCAACTTTCCCAAGCTACAGACCTGATTCAGGAGGCTCTCACAGAACTAAGGAGGTCTGACACACGACAAAGAAGTAAGGATGGCAAAGCCATGGTCACTCCCTCCCACTCCTGTGGTACCTGCTGAGAGCTGCAGGCCTCTGTTTACAGCCAAGTGGGGGGTGTCACCTGTAGGCAGTTCAACAAAGATCTCCATTCTCCCCAGGTTTGTGTGGAGACCATCACTCAGGGAGAACTGGAACTCGTCCACTGCCATACCAGGCCCACCAGGCACGTAGCCCACCAGCCCGGACAGGACTTCCTCGTAGGTAAAGGAGGAGCCTTGGGTCAAAACCCTCCCATTCTCCAGAGGCTCAGAGGCACTTCGTCTAAGGAATACATGACCTGAGGAAGGAAGTAAAGAAAAACAAATAAGCAATGATACATAGCACCGAAAACACAAGCTGATTTTGTCAACCAATATGAACGTGCATAGGTTGAGGGCCTTAGAAGTAGTTGGTGTCACACACATAAATGAACAACCTGTATTTTACATATAAGTGCTTATGTAAGCATTTCAGAAAAGATGAAGTCTCACTTTTCCTGGTTAAACATCCCTCCAGGAAAACCAGCTGGAGCAGTAATTGAGTGACTTAGCCATCAAATCTCTCTCCAAGAAGTCAAATTAACTTCAATGCTTAACTTTTATTTTTTTTTCTTTCACAAAGTGAAAAATAGTACTCTTCACTTACTGCCTTTCTCCTTGGGCATTCAGCATGGGGGAGTGGGGGAGGAGTAGGTTTTAAATTCCCCGAATTACCAAGGCATCAAACCCCAAAGACACTCTGGGTTGGAGTCAAGTTTTCTCTTTTCAAGGGTCATGTATACTCCGCAGCCAAGCGGAGAGTTTCATTAAAGAATGCAGGTGAATGAAGGCGAGCCCAACTGCTCCGACTTGCAGTCTATGAATGAACACTCCATCCACAGCAACAATTTCATCTTGAAATGACCAAAGAGCATTCTGATGGACTAAGACACCACTTGGGAGATGAAATTCCAGAGTTTTAGTACCAAGGGGATTCTCGTACTAGACGTTTAGCAAAGAAGTTGAGAGAAGATTCCCCAAGATGGTGTTTTACCTCTGGTTTAATCAGGGAAAGTGCTTTCTTTGCAAAAGGAGCTAGCTTGTAACGACTTCGAGCATGCATTAACCTGAGGTGAACACATTTTGCAATTAATAACAAGGCAGCCACACTAGTCCTTGCCTTAGATGGCCCAGGATTAGCAAGTAATGAGGTCTTTGAAAAGGATACGCAGGCTCTGAAAACTGTTTTGCTCACAGTGACGGAGGAAAGCAACTAAATAAATAACCAAACCCCAAACAGTCTAATTGGATTTCAGAGACACCAATTACCTAGAAATCAGGTTTTCAGAACAACCAGTGCCTACTGGGACCCCAAAAAATCTTAGCGAGCTGTGAATGAATCTGATTATACTTTGATGCAAAGAAACAACTCCATACAGGTAAGGCTGAGGAATAATCAACAGAGATCTACGTGTTTGCGCTAATAAGCCACTAAGCACCTCAAGTAGAAACCTTCCATAATCATTGTGTCCTACCGTGGTGAGGGGTATTGGTCAACACAAAAATCAGCTCATTATCGGGAGTGTCCAGGTCTTGTAGGCTCAGGGAAGAATTGCTTATCACCTCTCCTGAGCTCAGATGTACTTGGAGGGGTCGCAAGGTCATCCTGGGAGGTTCATCATTCTTTCTCTGATTAAAACAAAAAATAGGCCGTCTCACACAGATATTGGTTGAAGAAGAAAGAAAATGAACATTATTCAGAAAAAATGTCATACTGTTGCACCAGAGTTCACTATCAAAATAGCATTTCGTGTGACATCCTTATTCATTTCCAGTCAAAATGTTTAGTTTGAAAAAGAAGACCGGTCACACAAACAAAACCACTGTCATTGTCACTGTCCTCCCGTTGTTCATCGATTTGCTCGAGCGGGCCCAGTAACGTCTCCATTAGAAACTTTGTTGTTACTATGTTTGGCATATCAAATACATCACGGGTAGCTTGCCAGGCTCTGCCCTATGGGTGAGATACTCTCGGTAGCTTGCCGGGCTCTCCAAGAGGGGCGGAGGAATCGAACTTGGGTCGGCCATGTTGGCTGCGTGCAAGGCAAACGCCCTACCGCTGTGCTATCACTCCAGTCCACACAAACAAAATATCCCTTTGGAAAGAAGCTATTGGACCATTCGACAGAAATCTTGTTAGATATCTTGCTTAGACACAATGATCATTTTTTCCCCCAGTCCAAAATATATGCATGTGTGTAGACAAGCACAAATATTCTTGGGATAGTAAAGGCATATGATCTGAAATCAGCCTTAGAATACCCTTTCCACATTCCACATTTCCTGGGGAAAGATAGTTTAGCTAAAAGTGGGTCTCCAAACCTGTTTCTGGATGCTGTCTCCGCCCTCCCACCAACAATGCTACGAAAAGAAGGTTGAGGGTAGCTTATGCGTTCTCATCACAAAGCAAAGGATAGTCTACTCTGAATTTTATCTTCTGGGGCTGGGCGACACACTCAGCAGTGCTCTGGGTCTACTCCCAGTGGTGCTCAGAGAATCCTAGAGTGTCAGGGATCAAACCCAAAGCCTTCACTTTGGCCCTCCTAGCTAACTCCCTGACTAACTCCTGACATGTCTCTTTCAACTCTCTGGGCCTGGGGTGGTAGAACAAATCTATATAGTCACTCAAATGAGGAAAATATAGTACTAGCAAATTGCAATAAATAAATTTAATGTAATACATTTAATAAATAAATGTACTAAGATATAAGAAAAAGACTACACATAGAACCACACGCAACCATTTCAAGGCTATGCAGGCATGGGTGATTTCTTATCTAAATGCAAGACAGGCTGGGTTTCTCTGTCCGACTCCTGCAAACTTCTCACACAGAACAAGTAAAAATGGAATCTAGATTTCCAAGTTGAACCAGTCCCAAATGCCAGCCTTAATTCTATGAATTTGCCAAAGGTCAGGGTTATATTTTTAAATTGGCCTCTAAAATTGAAGGTCAAATCTAATCTTCTTTGCTTTTGCGTTCTTCTGTGTGAAGCTATCTAATGGAGGGAGATTGTGGTCAAAGGCTCAACTTCCCCAGCATCCGAAGTCTTTACCTCGATGGTGATGTTGATGCTTTGGATTTCTGAATGACTGTTTCCATCACTTACATAAAAACTAAAAATGTCATGGGTGGGCTCAATGCTTTCATGAACACTCTGGAAGTAGTAAATGTAGTTTTCCAGGACGTCTTGAATAGGGAAGGAGGCATCAGAATGACCAGTCATTCCCGGGCCAAAACGATCACCTGCAGCGACATCAAGAAAGATGAGGGAATAAAGAGGATGTAGGTCATATACACAGTGAAACATTAGTCACTAGAATGGTGGACTGCTGTCTTCTGTCCCCACGCTTAGCAAAATACATCAGAAAGAGAAGGGCAAAGTAATGTCTGATCTCATTTACATGTGATTTAAAAACAAAGAAGAAGAATACAAAATTTTCAATAAAAACAAACACTTAGACTCAGACCACAGAATAGAGATTACTAAGGGGGGTGGCATGTTGAGCAGAAAAAAAATTCAAGGACTGTACGGATGCAAGATAAAGGCACTTTGTGTCTGGTATGGTGTGCTAACATTTTAGTCCTCAAACATACAAATATTTACACTCTTGCAAACCATTGTTCCGAGAGAGAGAGAGAGACAGAGAGACAGACAGAGACAGAGAGAGAGAGAGAGAGAGAGCTCTTACTTTGATGTATCAGTTCTGCTTATGAGGATGAATCAGAAAGTATAGCAGAATTATCAACAACAGATGGAAGTACATTTAAGGATCAAGGTAGAGGAGTAGTACTCACACAAGACCAGGAACTGGAAGAGCTAGGATTGGATCCCTGTTCTTTGTGCCACCCTCCCTGCAGGGGGTTGGGGGACCATATAGAGTGCCAGGGATTAAACTCAGGTACAAGGCAAGTGCCCTGCATGCAGTACTATCTCCTGGCCCCATGCAGTGTCTATATAGAATAGAATCAATGGTTGCTTTGCTAGAAATGTTGGATGACAAAGGTTCTGACACCGTCACAACAAAAGCTCGACTTTAAACTTTAGTTACTTTCAAATCTCCCCTGCCTGGCTTATGCTGCCTTTCTTTTTATATAAGAAATATGTAAGGGGTCAGACTGAGAGCACAGCGGACATTTGCCTTCTATGTGAATAGGCCGGGTTCAACCCATAAGGTCTCCAAGCACTGTCAGGAGTAATTCCTGAGTGCAGAGCCAGGAATAATATCTGAGCATTGCCAGGTGTGGCCCCCAAACAAAGGAAAAAGCAAAAGACCAAGAAAAAGTTAGCCATATGCCTTTCTATTTAAAAATCATTTCCAGAAGCAAGTTTTTAATTCCCTCTCAATTCCTTAAGGGAAACTCTGTGAGAGAATTTAGTCTCGGGATGGTACACCTAGGCCTCTGTGATGCTTAGGTATCATTCAGAGTTCAGGTGCCACAGAGACAAAAAATACTATAGAGAGTGCTGCCACCAACTCACTCTGTCTCATACTAACCCTGAACATTGCTAAAGGCCAAGGAGAAGAAAAAGCAATGTCTAGGTGATGAATGACTTGTCTCTTGCCTGGCTTTAATCGGAGTCTCTTTAATTCTTGCTTTTAAATTGTTACTAGTTTTCTTCTCAAGAGAGTTAAAAGAAATGCCAGTGTGTTCAAAGATTCCCAGGACATATATCAATAAAGAAAAGATCTGGAAAAAGCAAGGGTTTCTTTGCAAAGATCGAGTCTGCTACAAAACTATGGTTTAAAAAGCCACCAATTTCCTGAACTGTAGATAATGTCATGTTTTAGCTCACTTCTTAAGAAAAATGAGGAGAGAAAATGCTTTATTTATAATTTATCTGAAATTAAAACTGAAGGCAAATGAGTTTTCCTAACAAATTTTCCTAAATTTAATCCCAGAGATCTGACTAGGCACCAGAAAAATCGTCAAACCCGAATGACCTGTGACCCAATAATCCCCAACAAGTGTATACACTTCAGGGCTTTCAGAAGGAACTGATCTAAATTCTTTCCATCTTTATTTTAGTTTTTCATGAGTCACAATAAACATGAAAATGACTTTTCTATTTGGGTCAGAAGTGGCCAAAGGAAAGCAAATGATGCCTGACTCTTCTTCAATAGAGTAGTGCCCTATTTCCTGTCTTTGAGAGACAGACTATTCAACAAATGAAATTGTCAATGACTCTTCGAATATTTAAAATGGCACCTTCTATGTTTTCACACAAAGCTTTATATGAACATCCTTTTTGCCTTCTCCAATAGAATATACCACGTGCACGTTAAACAGTCCCTGATTCAAGCAGACTCACAATGAACATCTATTACTGCAAAGTGCTGGAGTCCGGACATACCCTGAAGGTCACCAAGGTGGGTCTGCCAAGGGTGGGTCCTGTCCTATTGGTGCTACTAATGGGCACAGAATCCATACACTTAAATTTCACCTACCAATATAATTATTCTGCTTCTCCTTCTTGTTAGGAAAAAATCAATCCACTTCTTTTATTTCCTTATTTATTTATTTAATTTGATCGCAAAGACTGAGATGATCTGTTTCACCACATTGTCAACCCATTCCTTGGTTGTATGCATCCTAAAGTTCTCCCCTTGCCCCCAAGTGACAACCTTTCACATTCAGAGAATATCACTGTCTAGCCCATTGATCCATGCCACAGTGATGGTAGAATGTTCTGTTGTACATATACACAGGTTTCAGCAGCATCTATGGAAGGCAGATGAAGGTAGTAACTTTGTTTGCATAATCATTAGACCTAGAATAATGTGGGCTATAGCCAGACTGGTGGTGTTCAGGGATTTAGGGATCTTCATATCCAAGTGGAAGAGCAGAGGGCGAAAGGGAAAGATTAAGGAAATCCACTTCTTCTAATAGCTCTTTTTAACAAAAAAGACAATAGTTGGAATCTAAATCTAAATCTCGGTGGCTTAAAACAGACTTGGCTTGGTACACAGGCTAAATAATTTCTCCCTTGGAGCCAGCTTGAGAACTTTAAGGATGAGTCACTCTTTTTTTCCTTTTGGGATCATACCTGACAATTCTCAGGGATCACTCCAGGCTCTATACTCATGAATTACTCCTGGCAGTGCTCGGAAAACCAAGTGGGATGCTGGGAATTGAACCCAGGTCAGTCACGTGCAAAGCAAGTGCCCTATCTGCTGTACTATCACTCTGGCCCCCAGAATGTGTGACTTGCTGACCCACTTTGCTTTATTCTTGGGCAATGAATGTTGAGCAGCAACTGTGCTCCAAGTGTGGTCCTTGAACCAAAAAAGAATAGCAAAATCCAGTGAAAAATGGCAATGCATGAGCCATAAAGACCCTCACAATAGGAACATGGGCTTGCTACCCAAGAAAACTGTGTTTCACGATCCCCTGGGTAAGTTGTATGCCTGTTAACAATAACTTTTCAGGGAATCAAGGCTTGCCAGATACTTAAATTCTGGACCAATGAAATATTCCTCCACATGCCATTCCAGGTTAACAAAGAATGGAACTAGTCAGGGTTAATGAGAAATTTCCTGGAGAGAAGAGGAGAAGCAAGCATCCTTTAATGACTTCTAACCTTTGTCCCTGTCCTTCTTCCTGCCCTCACTCACCTTACCCTCCCTAACCCAATAGGCCCATCCTTCAGCAACTCCCACTAACCTTGCACATTCCAACTCAAAGGTCACGTCCTCACACTTTCCTGCTTTCCCGGGCAAAAGCATTCTGTCCAGTTACCTTCCTAGCCCTGGCATTTCATTTTGGGGATAGCTTCTCAGTCTTCCAATCCGTTTCGCTCCCAAGGCAGGGGCAGGGGCTGTGTCTTATCCATCTCCACTTATTTTTTTTCTTTTTGAGTCACACCAGCAATGCTCAGGGGTTACTCCTGGCTTTGCACTCAGGAATTACTCTTGGCATTGCTCAGGGGACAATATGGGATGTCCGGGATTGAACCTAGGTTGGCTGAGTGCAAGGCAAATGCCCTACTCGCTGCACTATCGCTCCATCCCCCCATGTTCACTTCTATCATGCCGCATACAGACGTGTGTTGAGATACATCTAACCTGGCATAAAAAACATGTAACTGCGAACGCAGAAAGATAAGAAAAAAAGCCGGGGCTGTGTAGAGGGAAGCAGGAAGATCACTGATAATTGAGCACCAGCTCGGTCCCAGGCACCACGCTGGTCAGTGAACGGTGTCTCTGTGGGAGCTGCGTGCCAATTAGAGCCAAGCGCGGGTGCTAGGAAGCTCATTCCAGAGGCAGATGCACAGCGACCTGCCAGGAGCTGTCTCGGCTGCCAGTCACTGTGGTCCCGAGGGGGTGTGGACAACGCATGCCTGCTCACCTCCCCTTCAATGCAGAACCACCAAGGGCACGGGGTGCGGGCAGATGGCGGAGGGGGAGGAGTATGGAGTGGAGGGGCACAGACAGACAGGCAGCATCTCAATTCTGCACGTCCCCACCTGAGAAGGAGCTGACACTTAAGCTCTGTCTGAGCTCCACTGAGGTGGCCTCGAAGAGCAAGGACATCTCTGCTGCCCTAACAATCAATTCTAAGTGCAAGCCACACTCCCTTTCCTCCCCCTCAGCAGGCACCCTGAACCCCCTTCCCTTAGTTTTCCATTGCATTGACTTACTTATCAGCATGCACAAATTTCTCATTTATTAGTTTCTTATCTGTCTCCCCCACCAGGACCTACAGCACTGAGAGGGTGGTGGGGAGGGGGTAGTTTCTGTCTGTTTGGTTTACTGATAGGAACACCTGTGATTGTTCATCGTCTGTTCACTGCCTATCTCTAATTTTGTTCAGTGAGTGGCAACTTCCTTCCCTTTCTTCAAAACGGTTCGATTCTTCCTCAGTTTCCAAACTCTGGGTTTGTGTAAAGTTAGGAAACTCCCTCCACCCTCCCTGCGTTCAGGTCCTGAGCATCCCTACAGCAAGCGCTCTCGTGGGTACCTGTCCCCGTGTTCTCAATGCAGCCGAATTTGGGCAGAGCGCTGATTTTAATGACGGCATCTCTCCGGAGGTTGTCGTGCTCGTCGGTAGCAAAGAAATGGTGAAATGACAGCGGGGCTCTGCCGCCCTCATCAACCTGAGAAAGAAACAAATATATCTGTATTGCAAACCATAAGGCCCCAAAGTGGAGAGAGAGTAGGGGGGAAATTGTCTGCCATGGAGGCAGGGGGAGGGTTAAGAGGGGCGGGGCTATACTGGGGACAATGGTGGTGGAGAATGTGCACAGATGGAGGGATGGGTGTTTGATCATTGTATGACTGAAACTCAAACATGAAAGCTCTGGAACTGTATCTCACCATGATTCAATAAAAAAAAAGAGTCCTTGGGAGGTCTTTTTGCAGTCAAAAAGAACCCACAAGGAAAGTATCCCTCCGGAGTGACCTTCCATGACGTTTCCACCCTTTGAGGAGGCAGAGCTTGCCCAGAAGGGGAGAGAAATGCATCAGCTGTAGCAGACAGGCTGTGTCAGTGCCTCTCGAAGCTGCACTCACACTCAGTAACTTCTGGCTCACCCTTCAGAGCTGTGCTTCTTTCGATGATGGATCTGGTGATAAAGTCGCTCTGGCCCATTCTAATCACCCGTGCGATTTTGTACAGCTGCAGCACAGAATGGCAGCTTGCTTCTTTCCGAGCCGGCAGTCAGAAGCCCACATCCTCCTCAGGTCCTTCACGGACAATCCCACTCTACACTCTTCCCGCCCAGAACGAAAGTCCCATTTTCTCCCAGAGAGCAGAAATGTACAGTATGTGGTCAGAGAGAATGCACCATTGCTAAGAGTTAGAGCTTATTTTATTTTACTGTTTTTTTTTTTACCATGATGGCACTTTTATTTCATTTTATTTTTTAAGTCAACAGGAAAGAGAAATTAGTGTCAGTAAAAGCAGTGCTCCCAGCAATTCCTCCACCTAGGACACTGTTCCGTGTGTTAATTCTGTAGCCTGAGCCTGGAGTTTCTTGCTGGCTTGCTGGATTAGGACAGTGTAACTGCATTCTGAGTAGCCCAGTTGAAATGAAGGATGTCTATAAGTTACAAAGTGGAAGGACATTCATATTTATACCTTGGGCATATCCAAGGTATAAATATGGGGATATCAAAACCATTTAGAAGCAATTCATGGTGAGATAGTATAGCATGTAAGAAGCTTGCCTTGCATGTGGCTGACGCAGGCTCGATCCCCAGCAACCCCAAGTGTTCCCTCAGCCCACCAGGAGTGATCCCTAAGCTCAGAGTCAGGAGTCAGCTTTGAATACCACTGGTTATGGCCCCAAATAACAACAACAACAACAACAACAACAACAACAACAAGGCTTCAGCTTTTATGTGTGAATTTTCAGTTGCTCAACACGATCAGTAAACCTCCTGAGACTTTGGTTTTATGGGATCTATATGAAGTAGGATAAGGAAAATGAATGAACTTTCCAGAATATCACATGCAGGTCCTGTAGTTTGAGGGGTGGGGGGAAGGGGCCACATCCAGCAATGCTCATGGGATGCACTTGGCCCTGCACTCAGGGCACCATTTGTGGGTTGGGATTCAACCAGGACCTGGCCAAGTGCTTAACTAACTTCAGTGCTATCTCCAATAGCCTGTAATCATATTTTAATGCCATGTTATTGATTATTAGAACAATCATCTATGTGACAAGAAGGGTTCTGTTTTAAAGATGAGGGAATTGAGTCTAAGAAAGATTACGTGATCCATCTAAGCTAAGAAGTGGGCAGAACCAGCACTAGATCTCAGATCCAGGTAATGCCTATAATTAGAATATGTTACACAAACCCCACCCTCCTCACTCCAAATAATTGTCAATACTTAGTGGTAAGCATCAAATTAAAATAAAGACTGACTTGGGGCTTTGACATAAAGCCCATAACCCAATGTTTTAGTTTCTGCCAACAATATACTATAAATTTACTTCAAAGAATATTTCATTTCGAATTTACTCCTAAACTATACATAACTAGCACAGTACACAAAATATATATATGTCTGTCCATCATCATAAATATTTGCTAAGTAATAAGGACATAATGATTAGGTAGTCCATATACAATTATTTTCATACTTTCTGCAAAGTCATGATTGGGATTTCGTCCTCCTGCCTAGACACTTTGGGGGAAGCACTTGGCAGCCAATTCAGCAGCAACTGTTCATTTACACTGCATGGATTCTGGCTCTGTGTGGCACTCAATGTTTATTGATCTGAGAATTGTTTACCGTGATAAGGTCAGCAAAGGCAATGACTGGAGGTGGGCTCTTGACAGGAACGATCGTGATGGTAAACATCTGATTGTCCAGATGGTTATGGTCCATATCAGAGACAGAGAAGTGGAAGTTGTCCGTAGCCATGTGGCCTTCAGTCTCAAGTACAGCTGAGTACCTAAAGAAGCAGAAGAATCTAATGAACAACAATGACAAGTCAGGTAAGATGACAGCTCCATTCTTCAAATTGGATCCCAAAGCAGTTCCTTCTTTCAAGGGAGTTGAGATTTAGATGCTTAAATTTTTAAAAATTTAAAAAAAAAATTCGGCCGCAGCAGTAGCACAGCAGGTCGGGCATTTGCCCTGCACGTGGCCAACCCGGGTTCGATCCCAGACATCCCATATGGTCCCCCAAGGACTGCCAGGAGCAATTCCTGAACGCAGAGTCAGGAGTAACCTCTGAGAATCGCTGGGTATAGCCCCAAACAGAAGCAAAACAAAAAAAAAGTTTTAAAGAAATATCTTTTAAGTACTATAAAGTAGTATATACCGAATTTTTTTGCTGTTGATGTCTTCCATTGTGAAGTTGGAAACCTCGGACAGTTCTTCCACCTCCGGTCCTTCGGTTTTTAAGAGAGTGCCATACCTGGGTAGAGAGCTTAATCGAATCCGTATCTCTGAGTCTGGTGAAGAATCATCCTATTCAGGAAAATGAGCCAGACATTAGTGCTCATTTGCAGGAATAAACACGTCCAGTAGCAAAAGATCACTTCTGCCATTATGTGGCAGAAGTGGATGTTTCCTTCACTTTGTGATAAATCAACATCATTTCAAAGTACATGAAAACCCTGGTATTTATTCATCTTAAAATGCTGCTTTGATAGTATCTTCTTTCAAGAGTAGCTCTTAGGAGAACAGGAGAAACATGCACTTTGGTTCTGGGGCATAAACTCAGTGACACCCTAGCATTCCTCACAGGTTGTGGTTTTACGGCAAGCATCTAGTGAAGAACAAAAGAGACAAAACTGTAAGTAATCCATCTATAAAGACAGATGTTGGTTTCTGCCAGAGTTCCTCAGGACAGTTGTTTTTTTAGAAACAAGTAAAATTTAATTACAGCATCTCGTAACATGATAAAGAAACAGAAGGATGGCTTTAAGTAGTATTCAAGATGACAAAGGTTTCATTTAAAAAGGGAATTTTGGCTAGTTTATGAACTTCATTCTATCAGGAAGGAATCTCTGAGTACTTAAGACGTAAAGACCACTTTCCTTTCATTATGTGTTGTTTATTGAGAAAATAAATTTAGCTTCTGTGTTCCAACATAACTGATAATTGAGTGTCTTAATGAACTATTTTCTCTTCCATCAAGATGATTTGTTTTCGCTGGAATAAGGAGGTAGCACCAGATGTTCATGACCCTGGTTCAATGCCCAGGAGTCTCCTGGCACTGAATTCTGCCAGAGCAGGGCCAAAACCTAGGGCCCTTATGAGGAACCAGCTTGTCTAGTTGGCATAGTATCATGTGAAATGGCCCCGAGGCCTTCGGAGCATGGTTTGGCAGTATCCAAAAAAATATTTAATAATTTTTTTTAAATGTGTGAGGTCCTGGATTCTATCCCTGGCACTGTTAAAAAAGAAAAGTAAAGAAAAGAAAAGAAAGTATTTTTGGAAATCTCTAGGCAACACTTGCTTGGGTAGTTTCCCTAGGGCTTTGTCGTTGAGAGCAGCTGGCTGTGGGGATGGCAACTTGCCCTCTCCAATACAGCGATGAGGGGAAATGTGGCACTCTCCATTGTACCCTCAAGTATACACTTTCATGGCCACGAGGCACAGACAGCTGAGGTATGTCATCAGGAGGGGATAGCTGGCCCAGCAGTGGTGTGTAAGTGCTGAGGCTTCTCCCAAGCTAGGAATATGCTCTGACAACTTGACCTATGTCTCTATTATTGAGGAATAATCACAAAATCACAAATCATCCTGTTAATCGTCGATTGCCTCGAGCAGGCCCCAGTAACGTCTCCTTCATCCTAGCCCTGAGAATATATTCAAGGCTCTTAGGAGAATGAGACCCATCATTTTTACTGGTATTTGGCATATTGGGTATGCCACGGGGAGTTTGCCAGACTCTGCCGGAATAATAATTATCATTATTATAATTGTTGGGAGTAATAATTCCCCAGATGGAAATTACACTTTATTTATGAATTTTTAAATTTCAGGGACATAGGGGCTGGAGAGATAGCACAGTGGGCAGGGCATTTGCCTTGCATGCGGCCGACCCGGGTTCGATTCCCAGCATCACATATGGTCCCCTGAGCTACCGCCAGGAGTAATTCCTGAGTGCAGAGCCAGGAGTAAACCCTGTGCATCGCCAGGTGTGACCCAAAAAGCAATAAATAAATAAATAAATAAATAAAAATAAATAAAAGATCCCTTCCTCCCACACCTCGAGATTTTAAATAAAGAAAAAAAATTTCAGGGACATAGTCCGCCATGCTCAGGGGCGACTCCCAGAGAATTACTTGGGGGTTGCTTCAGGTGGTGATGTGGTTGCTTCAGATGGTGGACCATGTGATGCCTGGGATTGAGCTGGACCTCCTGTATTGCAATGCGTGCATTGAACTCCTTCAGTTAGCTCTCCGCCCTCTGCTTCCCAACACCCCCCCCCCCCCCACCCCACGAACCCTGCCCAGGGCTCTTTTAAAATTTGATAGTTCCGAGATTCAATGAAACATCATAAAATTGCTCTTATTTCTATTTTAAAGGCCCTCCCGTTGATCATCGATTTGCTTGAGCGGGCCCAGTAACGTCTCCATTGGAGACTTTGTTGTTACTGTGTCTGGCATATCGAATACTCTCGGCAGCTTGCACGGCTCTCCGAGAGGGGCGGAGGAATTGAACTCAGGTCGGCCATGTTGGCTGCGTGCAAGGCAGACGCCCTACTGCTGTGCTATTGCTCCATCTGCTTCTTTACTGGGGGTTGTGGACTTTATCAGGCATTGCCAGGGCTTTACTCCTGGATCTATGCTCAGGCACCGTTCCCGGTGGTGACAGGAAGGCTATGTATATGTCTGGAACTGAATTTGGGACAGTAACATACAAGACAAGGGCATTCCCCCAGTATGATCTCTCTGGTCACATCTACACATCTATGTTAATCTTCCTTTTAACTCATTTATCATTAACACACATGACTGAAAGATCTTCAGTGAATTTTCACCATTGACTGATTTATCAGTGGACTGTGAAATAACATCAAGGAGATAGCGTCACAGCTCTGTGAGGTGTGCAAGACCCTCTCCAGATCCCTACCCCATCCAATTTCCAATTGTCATCTTCAATCACGGTGACCACTACACCAGCAGTGGTCACTCATATCCACAGGAGCTACAAAACTTGGGACACTTCCCTTACATTTGCAAATGTTTCCTATTTTCTCATACAATGTGAAGGCTTTCTTTTATACTGTGAATACCTTCTGAGAGAGCATGTTTTAAATGGCTGCGGAGAAGGGCCAGAGAGTTAGTGCAGGGGTGAAGGCTTTTGCTTTGCATACTTCCAACCCTGTTTCAGTCCTTAAACGCCCCCAGAGCATTGCTAGGTGCAGCTCTGAAGGTCTCTGAGCACCTCAGGGCGGCCCTGTCATACTCACCCCCAGGGCCCACACAGACCACCTCCTCTGGCCCTCACAGTGAACTGCCCACACTCTTGTACAAGAATCTCTGATAGCAGCCTGGGTGGGGTATGAAGGGTCCCAGGGGAGGTGAGCACTCTAAAATGACCCTGAGAATTCTCTACTACTGTCTTCTGCAACAGTACTAATTAGATTAAAATTAATAGATTCTACAGTCTGTGTTGACAAATTTGACAAAGACAAGCTTTGTCTTTTTTATGTCATGCATATCATATGATTATGGTTGAAATCCCAAATAACTGGGTTTTAAAGTGTTTGAAATTAAATGCCCAAGAATATAGATCTGTTCTCAAGCTACTTTTCTACTCCTAGTCCTTATTTCTTTTGTGTTAATTCAGTTTTCATTTTCCTGATAGACCCACTGTTCAACCAGAATACTTAACTTTGCAAATTAGCATTTTCTTTCCTATGTGCTTCCCTGCTCCTGGACATATCAACCTCGGAATCTTGCTTCTCCTGTCCTTGAATTTTTTGATAGTTTAATATTTTACTATAAAATATCTTTGAAGGTCTTTTTGTAAAAACATTCCCCCCAAATCAACCACAAAACAGACATACAGATACACACACACAGACACACACACACACACGCACACATACGCACACACATACACACATAGAGGCCGTTAAGAGAGTTAGATTCTAGTTTTGTGGGATTTTTTTTTTTTTAGTCAATAGTAGATTTTTTTTTTATTTTTTTTTCCCTTTATTTTATTTTATTTTTTTTAAAGTTGTAGATTTACAATTTTTTGTGCTTTGGTTTCAATTATACAATGATCAGATACCCATCCCTCCACCAGTGCCCATTTTCCACCACCATGGATAATATCCCTCCCACCCCCATCCCCCCATCCCCCCGTCTCTGTGGCAGGGCAATCCCCTGTGTTCTCTCTCTCCTTTTGGGTGTTGTGGTCTGCAAAAGAGGCATTGAGTGGCAAACAATAGTAGATTTTTTAAGATCCACCAAACACTGCATAGTTATAGTTCATCAGTTTTGAGGACTTCCTAATTCCCCACAGAGTAAGTTACCCTTCTACCTCTTGGTGAGCACTGGGTTTGCTTCAATACCTTTGCTGTTACAAAGAGTACAGAATACATACTGCAGGGATATTTCTGTGCCTGACCTTTGCTGTACATATACAAATTTCTCTTGGATATGATCTAGGAGTGGAAAGATTATGCCAGATGAATATTCACTCCCAAAGACAATGCCAAGTTCATTTCTAAGGTGGCGATTCTAGTTCCGCTAAGGACTTCCCATCGATCACTGTCTCTCCAATATTTGGTTTGTTCTTTTCTGACTTTGCCATCCCGGCAATTAAGTTAATATAAAATTATATACCTTTCCCAGATTACAATGGCCTAATAAAAGCTGAATTCACCATCTTTCTTGACTTCACAATGGTATCAAAGTGGTACCCATTGGATAGAAACATGACTTCGATCTGAATCTTGATTCTTTCCTGGGCTAGTCGCATGAGTATAACTCTCTCTCAGTGCAGGCCGGCAACTGCTGACCATTGTTCCACACCAGCCATGGAGTCCTGGGTGGGGGGGAACTGGACACTCTCCAGCAGTGTTCCTTGACTCTTCCGATTGTCCTGTCCCCTTGTCCTGTCTTACCAGATAGCCTCTCGCCCAATGCTGTGGTCTCCCATTTACAGGGTTTTCACTAACATCTAGGGGGTTCACATTGCCCGCGGCTGAGGAACATTGCTCTAGAGGCCGTTTTTCAATTTCAGCACAATTCACTCAATAAAATTACACACAATACTCAACATTGTTATGAAATAGGATTTGTGTTAGATTTCACCCAACCGAGGCTGGTGTATGGTGTTCTGAATATGTTTAAAGTAGGTTAGCTTAAACTATGGTTATTAGGTATTAATAAAAACTATGATTGTTATCTATTAAACGGATTTCAGTTTCTAATGTTTTCTAGATACAATGGGTTTATATGGATGTAATTCCATCATGAGTTGAAGAAGATCCGTATAGTTTTGATTTGCTTTACCCTATCACTTTTGATATTTATTGACCCTGTATAGGCTCCTCTTCTGAAATGTCTATTAATTACTGTCTCCTGCTCATTTTTCTACTGGGTTATTTTCTTCCTTCTTGATCCGTGGAGTTCTTTATATTTTCTTTTTGCTTATATGTGTTGCAAATCTTTTTTCCAATTTGTAACTTGTCTATTTCCTGAATAGACGATGTCTTGGAAAACATAAATTTATTTTTAATATAGTTAAATTTATCAATCTTTTCTTTATAGTTAGTGCTTTTTGTTTCTAGTTTAAGAAATTCTTCCTATCCCCATATCATTAAAATAGCCACCTATATTTTACAAAGCAATTCTCAAATTTTTATAAAGATATTTCAGTACTTTGGAATCAGTATCTGTAATCAGTAATCAGTATCTAAAACAGTAATTTGGAATTAGTATGGGATGAGATAGCGGTACAAGTCCTTTCCCCCCTGTACGAATCATCATCACGTCAACCATATTGTCAACCTGACTTCCACTGATCTGACTTCTGCATCTGTTTGCTATCGCTGACCTAAGTGTAGCTCTGTTTCTGGACTCTAGCAGATGTCTCTGCTATCCTGCTTTAAATGGTGCAGGTTTATAACAAACCTCGGTATCAGATAAACTTGCACTCCTATCATTAGCTTTCAGAATTTGATCTCTTTTTATCTTTCTTTAAATATTTTCAACTCAGCTTATCATGTTTCCTAGAAAGTCCACTAGGCTTTTAACTGTCAACTTAATGAACGATCAATTTGTAGGAGAATGGATATATTTTGATACTAAATCTTCCTATTTATGAATATGGCATCTGTTGTTATTTATTTGTGTTTTAAAACATTGATCAGTGAGTGGATCGACATCACTTGACTGGCATATGGCTGACCTAGCACCAGTTCCCCATATGGTCTCCTGAGTCCGCCAGGAGTGATCCCTGAGTATAGAGCCCAGAGTAAGCCCTGGGCACCACTGAGTGTGACCCACAACAAAAAAGAAACAAACAATAAACATCTATTAATTAAGAGTTATAATACTCCCTATAGAGATTCTGCCTGGATTAAATTTGTAGATTTAGTCCAGTGATGATTTTTATAGTGCTCATTATGAATTGTGTCTTCTTTTCAGTTGCGTTTATTAGCGATGTTTTGGTCATGAAAAACAATGCTAGTGCTACTTCTTTATCTTCCCCCTGATAAATTCTCCTTTTATTTCTAATACCTTGTCATGACATTCTTTTGGATTTTCATTAGACTCAGCATCAATTTTCCCTAGGAGTTACACATCTTTTGTTACATCTATTCCTCGATGTGAGCATAAAATATTATAAGTAGTATCATATTTTTGAATTATTGTATTTTTTTGCTGGTGCATAAAAATGTTATTAGTCTCTTTGAAACAATCTCATATCATCTCTCCCAAATAATAGACAAGAAAACTAAGACTATATAGAATTTTAATAACTGGTCAAGGGTTACTACTTTTGTAAGGGTGAGACTGGCTTAAAAGCCATTTAATCTTACTACACAACCCAGATATCACACCCCTCTCTGAACAGCAAATTGTGTATAGGGAACCTTTGGAAAACAACACACAATCCAATTTTAGAGTCCTCATCTTTATTTCGGGGCTCACACCCAGCTGTACTGAAGGATTATTCCAGACTCTGTGCTCAAGGTTAACCTCCGGTGGGGCTTGGAATACGGGGCATCATGGACTGAACCTGGATCAGTTGCATAAAAGGAAAGCACCTTATCCACAGTACTAGCTCTCCGCACCTAAATTTTTCCTTTTAAGTCCCTCCTCCCTCACCCCACCACCTCGCAACTCTTGACAATTTGCCACTTTAGTACCATGATGGTACTCTAATTAAAAACATTCCTTTCAGAGGCACATAGTTCAGAAGGTAAGAAGCTTGTCCTTCATGCAGCTGATCCCTGTTTGACCCCTGGCACCTCATTTGGTTCCCTGAGCTCAGACAGGGTCACTATGGAGCACAGATACAGTAAACATTGCTGGGTGTGGCACAACAACTCCCCCTCACCCATCCTAAATAAAATCCTTTTCTATTCTGCTCCACTTCCCATGATTTTCCCAATCTCTCTGGATGTTCACCGAAGACTCATTATCTGCATATCTGGAAACTTTTCCAGTTGACACTAAGTACACAATTCTACAACCCTCAGAGAAAGTATTAAAACATTTAGCTAAGTCTTTAAAATGTGCTATGCTTTTAACAAGCCAGAGAGAGTTCTTCTGGAGTCTTTTTGCTCAAGTGCGTAAATTCCCATTCACTCAGTTTTTGAAAATACATGTTCAGTTGCCAATAGGCTTGCATTTTTGATATGCAGCAGCTTATAATATGCAGTTAATGGGCAGGCATTGCTCCAAGAGTGCTATTTTGGTCTGTCAACCATTTTTCAAGCCTTGGTGATCTATTGATTAAATCTGAATTCATACATTTTTATGAATTCAAGAGTTTCATAAGATTCAAAAGACCATAACCTACAAAAATCACCTGTCAATTAAAAAAAAAAAGCTGTTCTGAAACTAAACTAGACCCATGAGAAGAATCAGGGTGCAATGCAGTTTCCCATAATTTAAGAAAAGACAATTTGAGGGGAAAATCCGTGCAAAAGCAATTGAAGCAATTGTTCCCAAGCCAATGCTTTATCTTACAAGCTACTATTCAGAACTAGATTTTATTAGCCAGTCTTCAGCCCAGAAAGGGATTACAAGGATTAAAATGCAGCAGTCCTTGTTTATTTGTTTTTAAAGGCCAGGTTATTGGTTAGAAGTTTATAATTAGTCAAAGAATAAAATCCTAAGAATGATTTCCATTCAAATAATCCTTATTTTCAACATATTTGTTAAAACTACTTATCAATATGTTTGTATAGAATTCTGAGTTATTTACGACACACATAATTGAAAACTAAAGTGAATTATTAGCTTCAGAGGCAGAACCAAAGAAAGAAGACACGTAAACCCGGATTACGTATGTAGTTAGGCCAAAGAAAAGTAAAACAAACCTAGCATCCCTACCTCTACCTGGGCCTAAGATGTTTCTTTTCTTGGAGCCTGGGAGGGGAGGGGAGTCATCTTGTCTAGAAAATGTGGCAGGGAGGCAGAGCCAAGGCTGGTGCCAGGACTTTCTAGGGAGAGAGTTGAGACGACAGCCAATAGCGTGCAGGCTTTCTCTTAGCGAAACAGGAAACACTATTATCCACTAGTCATAAACCAGGCAAGTATTTCTGAAACAACCTTTCCTTAAAATTCCCAGTCAAAAGACTATGGATAGAACTTAAAAATGGAAATTTCTTACACTGGAACTGCTTCCTGTTGACGATTTCTTTCCTAAACACACACACACACACACACACACACACACACACACACACACACACACCTCTTACACTGGAACTGCTTCCTGTTGATGATTCCTGCATTTCCTACACACACACACACACACACCTCTTACACTGGAACTGCTTCCTGTTGATGATTCCTGCATTTCCTACACACACACACACACACACACACACACACACACACACCTCTTACACTGGAACTGCTTCCTGTTGATGATTCCTGCATTTCCTACACACACACACATACACACACACACACACACACACACACACACTGTGTTTTCATGCATGTTCCACTCATTCATGTTTATGTCTGTTTGAGAATTGGCAGTAACCCGGAATAAACAGGGTGATTAATCCTAAATGCAAAAAGCCAGAGACATAGAGAAAAAGCCCTGGATATGGGCATTTACGCACCTCAGGTATTCAGTCAGGATAGTGTCCTCTAGACAATCTAGTTGAAGGGTGTGTGTTGGGCACAGGGTGTGGGGTGGCAGAGGCAAGAAGGCAAGTGTAGGAACATACCACATAAGCCAGGTGTGACCGCGTGATGACAGCTGTACTTTTACTAGCAACAGTGATGCTGAGCGAGGCCCCCGCGGCCAGCCGAGGTCCAGAGTCCTGCGATGGTGTCACCTGCACCCTCACTTCCACAGTGCTGGTGGTCAGTGAGTCTGTGACTGAGATCTCCAGGCTGTCTTCCCGGGCCAAGGAGCCGTCGTGCAGATACTGCAGTGCATTCTTCTCAATGTCTGCATACGTGAATGCGTCCCCTTGCAAAGATAACGCACGCTTACTGAATCAGTTACTTCAAAGCAGTGGGGGGGAAGGGGCAGGGAGGGGATGCTGGTTAGGTAGGTGCAACACCTTGTTCTCAGTTTCTGAGTCCATGTAGGATTGTAAACTCTGACTGCTGAGGGTTCATTAGTTCACCCACCCAATCCAGGCTGCTCTTCACACCATCCTTGAAAAAGTTATCAAGGTGATAATTAGACCATCCTTCAAAGGTTATCAAGGTGAGAGGTTCTCTGTTTAACAAGGTGACTAATTTCATTTGTAAGAACTATATACTTTTTGGCCCGAGTGATAGTACAGCAGGGAGGGTGTTTGTCTTGTACTCAGCCAACCTGGATTTGGTCCCCGGCATCCCATATGGTCCCCCGAGCACTGCCAGGAGTAATCCCTGAGTGCAGAGCCAGGAGTAACCGCTGGACATGGCCAGGTATGGCCCAAACTTCCCCACAAAAAATGTAAAAATAATAATAATAATAATAATAATACATATATATATATGATTTGAATCCAACTGTATGAGTCCAGAGTGCCCAATTTATGATAGAATTGATAGGTATTGAATGTAAAAGTTCCAAATCATAGAAGCATGGAAAAATGATTTTAAAATAAAATTCAAAATAAAAACTTAAATGATGGATTTATTAAAATTTTGAAATCTACATATCATATAAAACCTTTTCAAAAGTTTTATGAGAATCACTTTTTAGTGCTGTAAGTTCCAATGATTACATGGAATACAGCTGAAGAGTTGTTTCCATGGATATTATACTCAATAATTTCCTCGTAGATTACTGAAAAAAACATGTTGCATAATGTTTTTTTCAATATTTATTCACGCTTTGTATTCATCTATTAATCTTTCTCTGTCAACACTGTGTTAATTGTGCCTAGTGATTTAGCATTTCACAAAGTAAGAAAATGGTCATTTTATATAATCATTATATCACATATATTAATTGTAAAAAGTACATTAAATGTTGAGAAAATAGGCTATGATTATTTTGAACCTAAAATAACTCTCTTAGATTCTAGAAATCTATCTTAAGCAAGCTTATTTTAGAAAAATTTTAAAAATTATTTCAAATACCTGACTGTTGATTAGTCTTACCAATTCCACTTACCTCACAGAACATTCCCTCCCCTCTATGGGGATTATTTGAAAGAATACAGTGTTACATTCCTACAAGGAATTATTATAAAGGTTTTGAGAAAATGAAGATTGTGGGATCAATCATCCCAGGTGACCACCTTGACAGAAATAATTTGACTTTGATATGTAAAGTTCACTAAAACAATCTCCTTAATTGTGGTCTTAGTGCCTTTCAATATTTCCTGAACAATTAATATGTAGTCTTTTTTATAATTGGAGGAGGTACAACAATTATTAATTTGGAAAGCTTGTCATACTATCGCCTGGCATAGATAGCACTGTAAAGAGTGTCCCTTTAGATGGATAAAGAGATACAAAATTTATACTCATTAGAGTCGAAGTGTTAAAAGTATTGCAAAGGCTTATATACCGAGTGAAGAAAACAAATCTTCATAAGCAAACCACAGGACAGGGTTAGCTGAATTCATGTAATGTTCTGAATGCATTCATTCCAAGATTCAGAAGCAACAATTTCACCTACAATGTAAAGGAAGTGTTTCGTAGGTGGGAAGGGTGTCGAAGAAAAATAAATTCGAACTATATTAGCTGGTGGGCTAAACACTAAAGGCACTTTCCTTTTGAAGAATCCCCTCATCACTTGCCAGAGGCATTTGCTTTCTTCTCCAAGACCCACACAACTATAGGGCAATATCTGCCAAGAGGACAATGACAAATAAGCAACTACCTGCAGTCATGGGCCCTTGAAAGTCAGTTGTGTACTTAAGAAGCGCGCCGTGCTGTGGAGGTTTCAGAAGCTCAAAGTAGAGCTCTTCAGGGTCTGTCTTGGTATCGCTAACTGTCAACTGAAGCCCTGCAGTAAAGAGAACAAAGTATGGGGAGAGGGTGTGTACCAAAAAAACTGTACTCTCTCCTAAACCCAAACCACAGGGCAGGCTGAAAGCAATTTGATAGAGACCATATAGCACCGTGTAAGTCTAATCAACCACAAGAAAAGTGAAGACTGACAATATAGTTACCAATTTATAAGTAGGTTCTTCCAGATCAGCTCAGTGCATGAGGTAGCATCAGGGTTTGAAGTCAGAACTCCACACAGCTAGGCAAGCCCTTGAAGCCACTCAGCATCCAGGTTCCCTGAACACCTATGTTTTACTTCTACACATATGAGCCCATGAATGCCCACACATAGGTAATCCCTGACTACCTAGGATAGATTTTCTTTGAGAAAAGAATCTCAGAAATGTTTTTGTTGTTTATTAGTTTTTCCCTCCCTTTTCCTGTGATCCACAAAAAAACTAAGTTATTTCCACAATTGCTGCTCTGATCCTCATTGAGGTAAGGAGTGGGTAAAAGTTATATATGGATTAATTTGTATAAATTGGGTGACAATTTGAGACCATCATCCATACTTGGAAGCAGGAGAGGGAACTACAGGACACGCCTAACTAGCACATTATCCAGTTTTCTCTTAAAAGCATTTTTGGTAAAAGACTAAGTAAACTTCAGGAAAGCAGGCATTCTGACAGAGTAATCGAATCACATACAAAATAGCTGTGCACAAGTCTTATAACTGGGACTCTAACTATTTTCAACTTTTGAAGGTCATTGTAATCTGTCATGTCTCCAGTTTGATTTTTGTAAACAGGGAACAGAGCGGTCACTAAAACCCGCTCCCCTCTTTTTCTCTCTCCTCTCCTCTGTTGTTTTATATTTTAGTGAGGGCCACAAATCAAATGCCTGGAGGCTGAAAAATAAATTCTGTTGTACTCCATCACTGAGCATTGGTCTCCAAAGAGATTATTTCCTTTTCTTGGTGCTGTTCATATTTGCATGGAAATGGGCAGGATGAAGGTTATAGATGAGAATTGCACACAACTTCTGGAAACTTATAACTTTTGGGTCACCATCAGAAGTCTGAAGGGGACTGCTGTTTCCCAAACCATGTTGCTTTGGGGTTCCTATCTCTCACCGAGAGAAGCGCTTCCCCCTGAGGTAACCTCAAGCAGTGGAGCCATGACCTGGAAAGCCGGTAGGCGCTCATCGGTGGGCAGCAGGTGAATGGTGAGGGCCATCTCTGGACTCGTGTGCTCTCCATCGGAAACTAAAAAGAATAACACACACACATACACAAACACCAACTTGTAGTCTGGTCACCTTCAGAATCTTTCCATAAATATGTAGCCAGAAGATCTGTTTTAGATTACCTCAACACTTTGAAGAGATGCTTACAGAGGGATAAAGTGAGCACGACATGTGAGCGATTCTAACAAAGCTTTTTTCTACCAGATAACAGAAAGCCTACAGTTATTCTAAAATAGCAAGTTTCACGACAAGGTGATATTGATAAACGTGAGTGGAGAGGAAAGTAATACAAAATATGCCCTCTTCGATGCTCCTGCCATAGGCCTTTATTTATGGAATCAAGGATTTTTGATTCTATTCATTCTTCTAATAGTCTGGAGAAATTTTATTTATGGAATGAATGATTCTTGATTCCACTCATTCTTCTAATAACCTGGAGAAATATGTTCTTTAAGTATTTTTAGAAGGACTAGACGTGCTTATGTTTCATTAGGAAATATGTATTATTGAAAGAACAGAAAATATCCATAGAGATGGGTCTTATGACCGATGTTTAGCTCATGATTTATGCACTATAAATAAATGAAAGACAGCTTTGTGAACAAAGCAGTGACCTTAACATTTTATTTCCCTGGATGCTTTGACATCCAAGGGAACACTGATCACCTGAGGGATATGAAAGCAGAAGAACTGCCTGATGCTTGACTCTTGCTCCGTCTTTCTGCACGTTTCCTTCTGGGAAAGGCAGGCCTAGAGGAACAGCTCACCCTCCGCAGCCTCTGTATGTCTGCCTGCAGTGGCCAACGAGAGACTATAGGGCTGATTACTTTAAATGCGTGAGATGACTGCACTTGGGTCGGTTATGAGAAACGGGTCCCCTCCTTAATTATAAGACAGTAGCAATCTGACCTCTTCCTGACCCCAGGAAAACAGTGCTTTGTGACTCCATTTAGCTTTTAGTTTTGTAGATTTGCTTTATTCTTTTTGGGGGGGGGGGTAGCGGCACACCTGGGGGTGCTCAGAGCTTACTACTGGACCATACCGAGGAATCACTCCCAGTAGGACTGAGGTGCATGGAGGCATATGGGGTGCCAGGGACTGAACTCAAGTGAGCCAAGGGCAAGGCAGATGCCTTACCTGCTATTCTATTGCTCTGACCCTGAGGTTTGCCTTATTCTTGAAAACAAATCTAAAGGAGTTGGCCAGATGCACTCCATGTCCCGGAGAAGCCTGGAAATAGCCCTACTGCAGAAGGAAAGACATTATTCCCAGGAGAATGAGGGTTTTATGACCCTTATCATTCAATCAAGTGCCAAAATTATTGCCACTGCTTCTTTGTTTATATTCAATCTTCTCTCTGGATTACCACAGGTAGGGCTTAACTTTGGGGATTTGAGAACAAATTTCAATGAATCAGAGTTCTCCAAGGTCCCTAGAATCTAAGATCCACAAATCAAGTAAAAACAAATAAGAACAAATTTTTCCAGTGGTTTATGATGGTTATACTTTCCAGATGGGGGAACCTGGGGGAGGCTTCCAAATCCTTATTTTGTAAAATAAAAGAAGAGAACCTAAATAGCTTTGATCCTAACACATACCCACCAATACCATTAAGGTGTATCCTTGCCTCTATAAGTAAGTGGAAAAAATCTATTTTCCAACATACATTACCTAATTAGAATATTACATATTTTGTCATACAGGGTCAGAGTTTTGCAAGCAAACAATACTACTTGTCTACAAGAAAAGACAGAATCATGAAATTTGCTACTACGTGGAAGGATCAGAGTGAAATCAGACAGAAAAAGAGGGACAGATAGAGAATGATCTCTCTCAAATGTGGAACAGAAAGACCATAGAAAAGGAATAATAAATGGTCAAAGGCAACAGAACATAAAAACTGGCTTACCAGAGGAGACCCTAAGACAATGGCGGAGGGAAGTAGACAGGTTGGTGGAGGTGTGGTGTTGGTCAAAATGGGTAAATATGAAATAAAATGCAAAACCCAAAGACCATGTAGAACATCTAGATGTTGTTGGTACCGTGATGCCTTTTAGATCCAATGGTAAAGACCCAGCCCATGAGAAAGTATTGATAAGCTGGGCTTGGTTACAGTTGGAATCATTTGCTCCAGACCAAGGTAAAGAGATTAAGAGGATGAACAAAGGACAGTTACCCAAGATAAATAAAGAGTTCTTAAAATTCAAAAACAAGAAAACACACAATCCGATTTAAAGATTTGTGGGCATGGGGCGGGGGGGGGAGAGAGAGACAGAGAGAGAGAGAGAGAGAGAGAGAGAGAGAGAGAGAAGAAAAGCAATTGCCATAGAGACAGGCAGGGTGAGTGTGTGGGGGGGAACTGGGGACATTGGTGATGGGAAATGTACACAGGTGAAGGGACGGGTTTTGGAACATTGTATGACTGAAATCCAATCATGAACAACTTTATCTCACAGTGATTCAATAAAAATAAATAGGTGTGTGTGTGTGTGTGTGTGTGTGTGTGTGTGTGAAATAACAACGGTTGAGAGTGGGGAGAGAGCAAAAAAGAAGGGCTATTCGGCATGTTCTGCCTAGGGACATCTGAATCCATCACTAGTACCACGTGGTCCCCTGAGATGTGCTGGGAGTGACTCCTGAGCACTGTGCCACAAGAGACCCCTGAGCACTGCTGAGTGTGCTTTTCACCAAAACTCAAAAACACACATCTAAACCTAAGTATGGGTCAAAAACTTTAACAGACACTAACCAGGGCCAGAGAGAGAGAGAGCTTAAGAAGCTTAAGCACACATCTCTCATGGGACAGGAATTATATGCCTGGTTCCGTGTGACCCCTAAACAGCACCAGATGCAGCTCTGAGCACTGAGGACTGCTTGGGAGCCTCTTCTCCTAAAAACACAGTCACCAAATCAAAGATAGAAAGATGACAGATACGCCTATGAAAAGATGCTCCTCATCACATGTACTCAGAGACATACAAATGAGATACCAGTGGGCGACCACCAGAATGACTAAAGGATCGAACACTGGCAACCTCAAAGGCTGATAAGGATAGGAACAAATGGATTCTCATGCCCTGTTGGGGATACAAAATGGCAAGTCACTTTGGAAGACAGTCTGACTGATTCTTATAAAACAAAACATTCTTCTATTACTATACAACAACTGCAGTCCTTGGTGTTGATTCCAAAGAACCGCAGATTTATGTACATAATACGCGCAAGCACACACGCAAAGAACTTTATAACAACTGTCAAAACTCAAAAGCAGCCAAGATGTCCTTCAGAAGAAATAAAAACACTGTGGTATTTCAGATGATGGAATATGATTCAGAATGAAAAAGAAACGAGCAAACAAGGCACGAAAAGACACAGGGGAACTTTAAATGCGTACAACCAAGTGAAAAGGAACTGATCTGAAACGGCTGTATACTGTACGATTTTAACTATCTGACATTCTAGAAAAGGCAAACTATGGAAGACAGTACTAAGATTACTGTTTGTCAGAGGTAGGAGGAATGCTGGGGATGAGTGAGCAGAAGAGAGAAGATTTTAGGGCAGTAAAAATATTTTTTGTATTATGATAGACAAGCTATTATGCATTGGACCAAAGCCAAAAAATGCCTATCAGGAATGTGCCTTAAGGCTTTTTTTGGTGTTTATGACATATTAACGTAGGCTCGCCCTTGGTTTAAAAATGTGCCCTCGGGTGAATGATGCTGATTTTGGGGTAGGCTATGCATATGTGAGTGCAGGGACAATTTCTACACCTTCTTCTCAATTTTGAATTGTGGATCCAAACTTCACTTGAAAAAGGTCTTCAATGGGGCTGGAGCAATAGCACGGCGGGTAGGGTGTTTGCCTTGCATGCGGTCGACCCGGGTTCGATTCCCAGCATCCCATATGGTCCCCCAAGCACTGCCAGGAGTAATTCCTGAGTGAAGATCCAAGAGTAAACCCTGTGCATCGCCAGGTATGACCCCAAAAGAAAAAAAAGTCTTAAAAAAATTAAAAAATAAAAAAACTAAAAAATTTAACAAAATCTTAGACAGTACTCCCCAGATACATTGTTATAAACCAAAATTCTTAGTACAAAAGGAAAAGATGACTTAAGGATTTGGAGCTTGGAGATACAACTACATCAAGAGTGAGCTGGGAGCTGGGACCCAGGAAATGTTATCCCCTGAGACACTTCCCTCCAGTGTTGGGATCTGAACTCTGCCAGCTTCAACAGGAAGACAGTGCTGCTGTTTTCCTATCAATTTCCTAACCATGCCTGAGTGGGGCAGATGCCAGCCCCGTCCTCAGAGCATTTCCCTCCCATCCGTCAGAATGCACAAACCCTCTGTGCTCTTACAACTGCTTCTAGGACTTGAGTACAAATATATTCACTTGTCTATCTCTTCTGCTGGACCCCTCTGGTTCCTTGCACTCAGTGAATACCCAAAAAGTTTTTTTTTCTTTCTCCGGGGAGGAGTGGTTTCGGGACACACTCAATGGAGCTCAGGGTTATTCTTGGGTCTGCACTCAGGAATCACTCCTGGTGGTGTTCAGGGGACCATCTGGGGTACCTGGAATTGAACCCAGGTTGGCTGTGTGCACAGCACATGCCCTACCTGCGGTGCTATCTCTCTGACCCCCACCCAAAGCCCAAAAAGCTTCTATTGAAATACAATGAAATACAATGTAGCACACAAGGAGTTTAAATTTACTATACTTACATCTTTTTTTTTTTTTTGAGGAACAAGATGGAGTCTTTAATGTTGACTCATTTATTTTGTAAAAACAATTTTTACAACTCTATAGAGGTTGTTGGGGAGTGCTTTGTATTAATATCTGATTCTATTATAATCCTTTTTTTCCCCTTTATTTAATTTTATTTTTTTTAAAGTTGTAGATTTACAATTTTTTGTGCTTTGGTTTCAATTATACAATGATCAGATACCCATCCCTCCACCAGTGCCCATTTTCCACCACCATGGATAATATCCCTCCCACCCCCATCCCCCCATCCCCCCTGTCTCTGTGGCAGGGCAATCCCCTGTGTTCTCTCTCTCCTTTTGGGTGTTGTGGTCTGCAAAAGAGGCATTGAGTGGCAAACATGTTCAGTCCATAGTCTACTTTCGACATGCATCTCCCCTCCTGGGAGGATCCTCCAAACATCCTTTATTTGGTGCTCCCTTCTCTATCTGAACTGCCCTTTCCTCTAGGATACCTGGCTGGCCTCTAAGTTATGGAGTAATCGTCCTGGTGCTGATCTCAGCTATTCTTGGGTATTAATCTCATACTTTGTTACTTTATATCCCCCAGATGAATGCAATCTTTCTATGTCTATCCCTCTCTTTCTGACTCATTTCGCTTAGCATGATACTTTCCATATTGTACCACTTGTATGTAAATTTCATGACTTCATCTTTTCTAACAGCTACATAGTACTCCATTGTGTAGATGTACCAAAGTTATACTTACATCTTTTATAAAAATTGTGTATGTTAGGGTTAGTCCCAAACCATGTGTGTGTGTGTGTGTATATGTATATACACACACATATACATATATACACACACACATATATATGTACCAAAAAAAGTGAATTTACTTTTTCTGTAAGCCCTATTCATTTCCTCCAAAGTGACATAAATGTAATCATAGAGTTGACCCTCAAGAATTCTGGGTCAGAACTGCAGGGCTCACTGGTAAGAGATTGTTTTCAATAAATATAGGAATGCATGAGTTGTTCTGCCTATAAAAATAAAAGAAACTCCAGGAAGAAGCAAACTAAATTCAAGTCAGATGAACCCATTGTCCATTTTCTCTACTCTGCATAGTAGGTTCAAGGATCATTTAACGTCAAGTCCTAGAGAAGTTAATTGTTCACTCTTTCAAATCTTCGGATAAGTCAAGATTTGGAGGAAGCTAAACTAATATTACCACAATACTTTTCTTCATGATCAAATGCACACCCTGATAAGACTAAACTAATTATCCTAGGCTCAAGAGTCAGACACGTGCATTAAAATCCTACTAATGCTGCTTCCCACAGGTAGAAATCCAGGTACAATATTTGTTACAATCACTTTTAGTTTCCTAGGTTTTGACATGCTAAAAATAATACATAATTTGACAATATGGCTATAATTATTAAATGAGAGAACTTATAAATTGCTCTCATGTTTTAAATTGTATATTCTACAACATGAAATGTTATAATCTGTAGTATATCACTGCCAATTGTATGAATTATCTGGAGGTCTCTTGCTGAAAATTAGTTGATTCAACAAAGACACAACATTGGAATTACTGCTCATCTAAGTAATTTTTAACCTTTAAAAAAAAAAAGAAAGGTCTGCGAGATTGAGGAATATATTCCACCAAGATTTACCCCTGCATGAAATATGACAGTACATATGGATGGTTGATTCCCCTGAAATAGTTCATTTCAACTACTCAGCTATTTAAGAATGTTATTTATGGTCAACCACCCTCACACTAGACTTAACAAGAAAGCTTGTCCCTCTGTTACCCCAGCATGGATGCAGACTTGATTCTGTCTTTTCTTGTTGGTTCGTAATTTCTATTGCCCTGGGAATTAAAACTAGGATACTGTGATTCTGTACACAAAAAGCTCTCAACTGGGTTGAAAAACTAACAGTATCAAAGCTGTAAATGAAAGTCTCGTTTAAGACTATATATGACCATTATTCATCATAGTGTCACACAGGAATGATTAAGTGTCAGTCATTGCTCAGGGAGGGTTACATATATTTAATTATTGTTTATGGTCCCTGTTTAGGGATTAAACATAAAAGAACAATGAGGCTGAGACATTTTCCCAGAATAGGCTGAATCCCTGGCATTCTAGACTCTAAAAATAAGACTCTCACAACTATTGCTTTTTTTTAAAAAACAGATTTTAGGACAAGTTTAGGTGGAGCTAAACAAAATGATATCCTTGACGGATAACATAACATTTAAAGTAGACCTTAGAAAATAGCTAACTGTAAATGATGAACAAAGCAAAAAGGACTCATAAAGAAAGATTTCCATTTCCTAATAAAATGGAGATAAAAATCTTCACCTGTGAAGTGGAATTTCACTGATTCAGGAAGACCTGAAAGACCAAAAGAGAGAAAAATCAGTACATTAAATAATTTAGGGTCAGAGGCAGATTCTGCAGAAGTACTAATTGTGAGGCAGAGGTTAGAAAAGTAAAGGACCTTTTAATCTAAATTATTATGGTTTAAGGGAATATTGTTAGGTCATTTGAAAATATTATGTTAAAATTGATGGTACTGGCACTAATTTTAAATAACAAAAATAACCACATCATGGAATAATTTTACATCAGAGCCGTTAGTATGATTTATAATGCATTCATTGGATCCCATTTTATCAGTACATAAAATTCTACAAACTGGTGAACGTGGGTGATGTTGTATATCACTGACAAGACTCTCTGGTGGGTCAATTCCATTGTGGAATTGAGTGATGCCTGAGACATTGATTTACAGACTATAACAGCGTGAGAGATTTATCTAGTGGCATTTATCCCATAGATTATATGGGACAGGCTTCTGTTCTCTCTAGAAAGGCTTGAAGAATTTAGGCAAGTACAGCAAATACAGAAATAACTTCAACCACAGTTGCTTTCCCCCTAATCCCAGGACATCCTGAGTTTCTTGTAAGGGAGATCTTCTACAGCAAGGGGTTAGAGAAACAAGAATGTTCACGGGCTTTGAGTTATCCATTTACTAGACACAGGAGATGCTCTGTAGCGAGGAGACCCATCCACTCTCTTGGAGATTTTCAATCTAATTGAGGAGCTAATCATTTTCTGCATGACTACCTTTATATAAATAATGGCAAATAGTATAGAGGTATTTGCCATACATTCAAAAGCAGTTCTAATATTTAACTCATGTTCAACTCACTGTAAGAAATTACCAGTTATTCCATATGAACAAAGACACCAGGTAAAGATAGATTTTTGTCTTAATCACATTAAGTGATGCATATTGTTAAAGACTGCAGAAATATTTTGGGTTAGAGACTCAAAAAATTCTCTTCGACCAGCAGCCTCACTTAGTGGAGGGAGAGCAGAGGAACAGTGGAGCGGGGTGCAGCCCAACTTAGTATAGTGGAAGTATACACACGCGCGCGCGCACATACACATGCACACACACACACACACACACACACACTCGGTTGGAGTTAGAGACTTACTTTCTACATCTTTTCTTTAAGAAGGTGTCTCTAGCAACTCCTCCTTTTAAACACAAAAACTTCACCGCTTTCTCTGTTCTTAAGTGAGAGATTCTCTGGGTCCCTGTACCACTCATCTCACTGTTTTCTCTTCTCCACAGGTATCCTCTTGGGTCTCCACTTCATATCCATTCCCATCAGACTGCACACAGAGTTCCACTTGAAGAGTCATTCTCCCCAGTCTTAACATCTGGGAGTAGGGACTCACTGTGCATCAGAGATATTCAGATCCTGACAGGCTGACAGACCCTCTGGAGAGTCACCCCCACTCTGCCTGACCATCCATTTTCAAACACATTGACTTCGTTTCAATCCCCAGAACATCACATTCTCTTCCTGCCCAGGGCCTCGACACGGGTCAGTGCCCAGGTTCAGTGCCCTTCCTTCAGAACGCTTCCTAGACAGCCCCAACATGCTTACTTAAGCCTGGTTAGCTTCAATCCTCCCACCATTGCCAATAGCCTCCGGAAGCCGCCTTCACCAACCTCTCAGTCCAGGTCAGCTTTGTCCTGCCTCCTTTTACCACTGAACACTCTTCTTTCTTTCCAGAGCTACTATATCAATTTTCAATTAAACATTAATTAAATTCTCTCTGGAAGGCTACATTCCCCCAAGCTGCCAAGAACTGGATTCATACCTCTTTTTCTCTCTCACGCAATATTTTGAGGGTTTAACACAATTGCCATGGAAGAGGCACAAACTGGTATTGAGTGAAACTATGCCTGCCTGTGTGAGTCAATAACAAACGAGGAGATACACTGGCTCACAAGTCTCAAGCTATTTTTTTAACTTTTATAAACAGTGTCAAATGCCAGGGGGACGATGAGAAGAGGCCGGTGAGTCTGTTGTGAAGATCTGCAGAGAAGAGCTTGGGTATCACAGAATAAGGAAGGACTCATTACCAGCAAAGGAGAAGGCCATGATTTCCTGGAGATGGGGGGCAGCTGGAGGAGGACGGTATAGGACTCGGCCCTGGTTAATATCTTCCTGGGAGAAGTATCTGATGGGAACGTGAGGCTGATCCTTGTATTCAATGGTACCTGGAGGAGAATCACACAAACATTGAAAGGAACTGAGGACAACTGAATGACCCCGGACACACAACTCCCTCTTCCTCAGTGGGAGTCTTTTCAGCTTGGGAAGCAATTGTTCCCCAGTTGCTCTTGGTACACTGTCGTCTATTCATTCAAGAAAAGGACATGTCTGAAATCCCACTAGACTCTTGTCTAGGATTTGTGGAATATAAACAGGAAATACTATGTCTACTGAAATATCCCAAAGCAGCTTTGACCAGCTAGTTCTCCATAAGTTATAGGCAAGAGATTCTCCCAACTGAGTTGCAGTTCGAAAGTCAAGATCACTAAGAAGTGGCAGAGACGGGTCTCCCGGGAAAGCTCAAAGGAGATTTGTCTCAGTCTAGTCTTTCCTTCAGTCATGTCTGAGTCTTTGTGTTGATCTGTGGCAACAACAATGCAAATCTTCGTTGTTGGAAAGATTGGACTTGCACACAGCACTCTGCTTGGGACAAATCAGGGGATCCAGATTTGCCTGTTACTTCGAAATTTTGCCATCCAGAGCAATGTTGGGGTCAAGCTTTCATGGTCCAGTAACTCTTTAAAAAGTTACTTGTTGGGGGCCAAGAGAGGGGATAGAAGTTAAAGTGCTTGTCTTGTAGGCAGTAGGCCCAGGTTTAATTCTTTTCACTGCATCTAGTCCCTCAGCACTGCCAGGAGTGATCCCAGAACATAGAGCTAGGAGTCTAAGTAAGTCTTGACTACAGATGCTGTGACCACGAAACCAAAAATAAATAAATAAAAGGAGGGCAGGTATGAGTTTTGGTGGTGAGCCATTCGATTTCTGAGGGGCTAAGAGACTGACAACTATTTTCCAGGAGACAGCCAGCCTACTGGCTGTCTTTCCTTCTATCTGCATCATACAGAGAACAACTCTTTAAGACTTCACAGATTAACAAAAAGAGAAGGGTAAACTTAAGGTTTTTGATCCTTAGGGGTTTTATCAAAAGAGTAATGCAATTTAATGTTTAGATTAAATTTATTTCTCAGTGGGAACCTGACCATGTGAAAGGCTGACTTCCAGATATGTGGTGGGCGTGGGGGGGGTCCAGCCTTAAACACAGGAGCACGAAAGTCATAAGAGAAATTGGTTTCTGCTTTTGCCAGAAATACCCCAGTATATTAGGTAAATTTGAAGGTAAGAGGCTCAAAGGCTAGAGACTGGTGGCAGAACTCACATCTCCTCTGACTGCAGTTCTTCATTCACATTGTTCCCCTCAGAGAGCAGTGAATTTAGCTACTTGAAAAAGGGATTATGCAGGTGCGGCTCAGTCACCTTAAACTCTCTGCAGAGATTTAATTTTTGTGTTTTGGTTTGGGGGCCACACCTGGCAGAGCTCAAGGCTTATTCCTAGTTCTGCCTCAAGGATCACTCCTGGATAGCTGAGGGGTGGGAGGCGGTAGAGGGGAGGGGGGGCACATATAGGGTGCTGGAGATTGAACCCGGATTGGCCATGTAGAAGCCAAGTGCTCTACTAGCTGTACTATTACTCCAGCCTCCATTTTTAAAAATTTTACTATTATTATTTTTTAAATTCTTATTAGTGAGTACAGTTGTAGACTTACAAATTTTTGTGCTTGGGTTTCAGTTATACAATGATCAAGTACCCATTGATCCACCAGTGCCCATTCTCCACCACCAAGGATCCCAGACCCCCCCCCCCCCCCATCTCCCACACTCTCCCCCCCACCCCCGCCCCTGCCTCTGTGGCAGGGCATTCCCTTTTGTTCTCTCTCTCCTTTTGGGTGTTGTGGTTTGCAAAAGAGGCAATGGGTGACAATCATGTTTAGTCTATAGTCTACTTTCCGCATGCTTCTTCCATCCTGGGAGGATCCTCCCAACACCCTTTATTTGGTTCTCCCTTCTCTATCTGAGCTGCCTGTTCCCCTAGCATGTGCGACCAGCCTTCATTTTTTTTTTAACTAAAAAAACATATTTTTAAAACCCACCTGGCAATGTCCAAGGCCTATTTATTCCTGACTCTATGCTCAGAGGTTTAGGGGTGCCTGTGCAGTGCCATGACCAAACTGGTGACCGCACACAAGGGAAATGCCTTCAGTCCCGTCCATTCGCTCTGGCCCTCATCAGAGCTCCTTATTCTTAGTTCATGTATCTATGTCCCTATTTGATAGAGCCCCTGGGACTGGGGTGGGAAAATCAATTCTGTGGTTGAAGTCCAGCCATACACCCTAGATTCTTTTGTTTACTTTTTAAAAAATTTTTTATTAGTGAAACACCATGAGGTACAGTTGTAGACTTACAAATTTTTGTGCTTGAGTCTCAGTTATACAATGATCAAGTACCCATCCCTTCACCAGTGCCCATTTCCCACCACCACAGATCTCAGTATCCCTCCCACCCTCCAACCCCCCCCCCCCCCCCATCCAACCCTGCCTCTGTGGCAGGGCATTCCCTTTTGTTCTCTCTCTCTTACTGGGTGTTGTGGTTTGCAAAAGAGGCAATGGGTGACAATCATGTTTGGTCTATAGTCTACTTTCAGCATGCTTCTCCCACCCTGGGAGGATCCTCCCAACACCTTTATTTAGTGTTCCCTTCTCTATCTGAGCTCCCTTTTCCCCTAGCATGTGTGGACACCCTAGATTCTTAGTAACAGAACTGTAGGCGCACAAGCTGGCCCATTCACCTCTGGCTGACCACCGTGTTTTTCTCTTACCCGGTACAAAATTCCAAACAGGGGCAAAGGGTAGGAATAATGGTAACTCTTTAAATCCTCAAGAAGCATAAGCAGATAAAACCGGGGAGCTTGAAAACCTAACAAGAACTGAAGGACAAAAGCATCCCTCAAAACTTCATTTCCTGCACAGCTTACCTTGATTTGGATGCAGAGGCAGGGTGATATTGTATACAACCTTCCCACTTGGCTTTTTGGAGTTTACAAAGGAGAGGGAATGAGGCTGAATCACAGTCAAGCCGTCCTCTCGAGCCTATACAAATTAAAAGAAGACAATAGAGGGGAAAAATGGAGAAAAACAAAAGCCAGCAGCAAAACCAAACCTCATTAAACACATACACACACAAAAAAAAACCTGACTCTGGGCTTTTACATTAGTCACACAAAGCACAATTAATTTCCTCCCAGAGTTCAAAGAAAGATCGAGTCTCTTGCGATGCACATTTGTCCCTTATGCCTTAGAAAGCTAAGAAATGTATTGGGTCCCCGTCATTTCTGCTGGCAACTTGGCCCTTCGCTCCCACCTCTGAGCTGTGTCCCCCTCCCCCCACACAATATTCTCTAGGGGAAGCTCATAGTGGTACATGTGTGAAAATGAATTGCCCCAGTTGGGTTTTCCTGTTTGCAGACTGCTATGACCCTGCTCCTCTAAATTAATGGGCTACGGTTGTACCTGGTATCTGGCAAGGAGGGTCTTCGCGCAGCCTTCCAAATTTACTACTGTGAACTGTGATGCTTTCTGGCTTCCAAGAACTAAATGTCAACCCATGCAGACAGCAAAGGCAGCTGACCATCTGAATCCAGACACTCAACAACCTGGTAGCTTATTAAATCCCATAAGGGCCGTCACTGTTTTTCTGTCGCCACTGTATTATCTAAAAGAACTAGATGGCTTTTCTCTTCTAGCTTTTATGAATGAGTCAAGTGAAATTAATCAGAAGGCTCTGGTACCCTTGGCTTTTATTATCCATTCACCAGCATATATCCATATCCCACAAATACTGGCAACACTCAAATAAATAAATAAATAAATAAATAAAAGACAAATTCAGAATCTCATGACCAGGCTGTGACAGTAACACAGAGAATAAAAAAGAAGAAAAAAAAAAAGGAAAAAGTTGTATGAGCCTGGACCCATGCCTGGGTCTTCCCAGGCTGTTAAGAGAACAAAAATATCTGCTCACTGCAGGCTCTTCCTCACTGACCCTGGAGCCTGCCCTGATCCCTGGCGCTTTGAAGCTCTGCTTCTGGCAGAAGGAATTTCCCCATTTAGGAAAGGATTAAGCAGGACTCAGTAATTCTCATGCAGGAGGGCGTGGTGTTCCTCCTTTTAACCATGAAAAGATTGAAGGTTGCAATTGCTCCGTAATTGTCCCCAAGGCATACTAGTCCTGGGGAGAGGCGGCATTTGCAGGTTAGGACAAACCCTTATACTTAAGAGTCATATTTCAGGCTATTGCTCAGGTCTGGAATGTAAGAAGCAAGAAAAATCAGAATTGCAAATAGCAGCTGGCCTCTCACCCGAAAATAAAACAGGACAGCAAATTAAAAATATGTGCACTATACAAGGCTTGCACAGATCATGTGTGCACACACCTAGACAGGTGTGGCCAGGGACACTTGTTCAGGGCTGTTTGTAATTTTTTCATGTCAAAGTCACCAGAGTAAAAATTCTCAGAGTCTGCTAAATTTTAAAATATAGATGTTCCTCAAGTAAAGCAATAAGAAAAAACAATTGTCATTCTCTCTTAGACACGGGACTATGAAAAGGGGAAAGAGTTTCACCCAAGGAAACAATATATTATGAATATAATGAGTATATTGATATAATTTCCTTACTAATAGAAATGGCTACTAGGCATAAAAAGAAAGAACTTGATTCTCTGAAGAAAGCAATATTCAGGTTGAGATATATTAGCGTATAATCAATTTTAATGCTGGCCATTTGGAATGCTCAGTATTTATCAATTAAATGTGGCAAGAAATGAGAGATTGACTTTCATGGAAACCATTATCAAAGGCATTTTTAAAGTTAAACGCCTGTCAACAAAAGAATATCACAGAGAAATGGTTTCCATAATATCCCCATTACCTTACACTATCCAGAATCCAACTATTTCTCCCCTCTACACTACCACGGGGCTGGAGCGATAGCACAGCGGGTAGGGCGTCTGCCTTGCATATGTCCGACCCGGGTTCGATTCCTCCACCCCTCTAGGAGAGCTGGGCAAGCTACCGAGAGTATCTCGCCCACACAGCAGAGCCTGGCAAGTTCCCCATGGTGTATTTGATATGCCAAACACAGTAACAAGTCTCACAATGAAGGTGATACTGGTGCCCGCTCCAGCAAATAGATGAACAATGGGAGGACAGTGCTACAGTGCTACATTACCACTACCTCTACATTGCCACTAATCCTCTGGGCAGGATTGCCCACTCCCAGGAATTGCTGAAGCCTCCCATCTACTCTCTTGCTTCCCCTACCGTCAGTTCCAGCACAACCATCAGCGTGAGTCCCAGTGGTGGAGAGTCTTGGGCGCTTTGGTGGTGGTGGTGGGGGGGGGGGTGGGGCATAAGTACCTTTATGCCTCAGTCCATACACTTTAGCACCATAATAACTAGGGCACCAAAACAGGATAAAAAAATAAAAAATAAATCCAAAAGACCTCAGGGGAAAAGGATGTAGCTTAGTGTGTGAGGGCCTGGGTTCAAGTCCAGGAATCCCAGCTCCACAAAAAATTTAATAAATAATAAATAAGGGGCTGGAGGAATAGCACAGCGGGTAGGGCGTTTGCCTTGCACAAGGCCAACCCGGGTTCGATTCCCAGCATCGATTCCCAGCATCCCATGGTCCCTCGAGCACCGCCAGAAGTGACTCCTGAGTGCAAAGCTGGGAGTAACCCCTGAGCATCACCAGGTGTGACCCAAAACGCAAAATAATAATAATAATAAATAGGAAATAAATAAAAAGGACATTAGACTCCTGCTTAATACTCTATAATGTGGTTCCTCACTTCCTTTAGAATAAAAACCAATTCTTTATAATGGCCTGTAAGGTCTGATGTAAAGTCTTCCTCCCCCCAACTCCCTCCCCCACCCCCAACCTATGAATGAATTCACTGACTTTTGCCCACTCTGCTCCAGCCACGCAGTCTTCCTCCTTGATCATCTATCTACAACATGTTCCCAACTCCATGCTTCTAAGCACATGGCTCTCTGAACACTCTTTCCTTGGGAATCTGCATGACTATTTCTCTCCTCTCCAGCATCTCTTTCCTTAAAGGTCATTTCTTAGTAAAGCCCACCCCGGGGTGGAAGGTGTCTAATGACAATAATCTCTTGGACTTTGGTATAGCACTGAGGTTACCAAGTGGAAGAGGGGCGGAAGAAGTGGGTTGGAAGTGACACCAGGACAGTATAGGAGAGGGAGCAACATACATAAGCATAAACATAAACACACACTGAACCCTGCTACCTCATCTGCAATTATTAAAAAATGTAACACACACACACACACACACACACATAGAGAAAACAAGCATTCACAATGTAAAAACCGTTTGAAATCTGGAGAGAAAATGTATTATTACAAGCAAAAGAAACCATATGTACTTTGTAAGTTATTCCAATAAATAAAAGAGGATTTTATTCCGTATTTTTTAAGAACTTTAAAGTCCTCATCAGTTATTTATAATTACATACGGTTTCCTCTGACCCTACCATTTTGATCCCTTTCAAAACATGATCTGTGCTTTGTTTTACCATCCAAACAACACAGTATATAAAATTTGCTTATTTATTTTACTAGTTATCGATTTATCCCCAAGATAATATAAATACCATGAGAGCACAGAACTTTACTTCTTATGATGGATATCAAGCATCTAGCACATGAAAATAAGGGCTCAATAAAAAATTCTTAAGTTAATAAAAATGCCATTATGAAAAACTTACATAATAAAGTAAGTAAAGTATTTAATAAAAATTTCATCGATAATTTTAAATATTTCTATTGCATTTCAATGTCATCTAGAGAACGAGAGGGTTAAACATTTTAACATTTAAGTCTTAAAATATGTACATGACTTAAACCTTCAGGTCAGGATTTATAAACAGCATTATTGTTTCACCCTTCATTAAACGAAAGATCAATTTTAGATCTTGACTCTCATTCTACCAAAGAAGCAAAGCTCATGACCAGCCAGAGAAATTAGATGTCCATGGATAATGAAACAAGTAAAATATAGGCACTACAAGAAGTCATCTTCTTTGATAGTTTAGTTAGTACAACACAATTTGATGTTGTGTGAGAACCTACTATGTACAAGGTACCAAGCAAAGAATTATGGGAAACGCAAGATGAATGAGGCATAGACCCTTTCCCCAAGGAGTTCCAGTTTTTAATAGAAACAGGGAAATCATAAATAACTCTAATACTTGAGAAGCTGAGAGTGTGAAAGTCTTGGATAAAACACAGCAAGAATTCAAAGGATAAAGAAACATTTCCAGAGATTAGAGATAATAATTGTATTAGTGTTTGAAAGGCCTCCAGGGGAAACATGGACACACAAGCCCACAGCCAGAAAACAAATAAGCAAGTCTGGACTTGAGTTTATCACAAAATAGATCAACTGTTCTAACTGGATCCCTGGGAGTCCTAATGAGAGTGGTTCTGAGAGAATTTGTGATACAGCACTCTCTCCAGAAATGAACAAAACTAAACAAAAAAGGCTTATGCAATGCCTTTCCATCAAATGGGTGCCTTGGGAAATCCAACCCTGGATAGACCAATTATTTTTAAAAAGGAAATAATAATTAGCCCATGTTTGTAGAGGCAGACAACAAGCAACCTAGGAACAGGGGCATGATGTGGTGGTGGATATAGTGCGATACCATAGCACACTGCAGGTACATACATGAACCCTACATATTTAACCATGCTAACTCAACTTGAAAAAATTAAAAACTTTCATTTGGCAATTTCTTGCCTTAAATGAGCTAATCAGACAAAAAGAAAACCATATAATAGAAAGAGCGGACAGAATTTGATATACAATATACAAAGTATGTGTATATACCCATATGATTTTTCACTCGCAAAACTAAAACCTACATCCATTGAACTCACAAACCACCATTCAACTTTCTACTTCTAGGAGTTTGATTACTTAAGATAGCTTCTATAATTGGAATCATATAGTACTCGTCTTTTTTGAGATGGCTTATTTCATTTAAGATAAATAATATCTTCAA